GAAAGGGATTTGCAAGCAAAATTGCAATTCGAAAATTCTGTATCTCTAAACGAAGAAGGGGCGTTATGAAGTCGCACTTCCGTGGGCGGAGAATCATGTACCACTCTCCACCCACAAGGATTTAGCGTTGAAACGTCTACAATCTACCACCCAGAAACTTTTATCTCAAAATTTATTTTCTTCATACAATGCAGTTTTTAATGACTGGTGTAACTTAGGAGTGATCGAAGAAGTTAAAGAAAATATTGCGGTTGACTATGGACATTATTTACCGCATAGACCGGTGATCAAAGAAAATAGCTCAACACCAATTCGACCGGTGTTTGATGCGTCTGCGAGGAAACAATCGTCTCCTTCTCTAAATCAGTGTTTGGAGTGTGTGGACCAAATTTGATAGAACTAATTCCATCTCTTTTGTTGAGATTTCGGGAAGGCAAGTTTGCTGCTATAGCAGACATTGAAAAGGCTTTCTTACAGATCAGTGTAAGGCCTCAAGATAGAGACTGGCTTCGGTTTTTTCTGGTGGAATGATGTGGAAGAAAGGAAAACGAAAATATTTCGTCATACTAGGGTAGTATTTGGGGTTAAGAGTAGTCCTTTCCTTTTGGCAGCTGTTATAGAATTCCATCTACAAAAGTACATGAAAAATTCTTCATATGATACGGAGATAATAGCTAAACTCTTGCGTAGCTTCTACGTAGATAACGTTGTTGCCAGTTTTGACAAAGAATCCGAGATGATTCAGTTCATCGAAAAATCTCGAGAAATAATGAATGAAGGAAAGTTTAATCTTCGAGGTTGGTTACATAATGGAGATAACCTGAAACAGGAAACTATTTCACCCGTATTGGGTCTGTTATGGAACTGTCAGAAAGATAATTTAACTTTGAATCTGAATTGGCTAGAAGATTTTGAAATGGGTATAATAACGAAGAGAACAATTCTCGCTGTAACACACAAAATATTTGATCCTATTGGTATTGTGAGTCCTGTTCTCTTGTATCCTAAAATATTGTTGCAGAACCTATGGAAAACAGGAATTTCTTGGGATACTGAAGTTGACGAGAGTACAAAACAAAATTTTGTGAATTGGTATAAAAGCCTTTTTCTCTTAAAAAGAATATCCCTCCTACGTTGGATACATTCCAGCAAGGACAATAGGAAGTTCTGCAGCATTCACACATTCTGTGATGCCAGTAGTAATGCGTATGCTGCTGCAGTTTTCTTGAGAACTGTGACGAATTCTGGAGTTGAAGTTCATCTGTTGGCATCGAAGTCTAGAGTAGCTCCCGTAAAATCTATTACGATCCCTCGTCTGGAATTGATAGCTGCCACGATAGGTGCCAGACTATGCTCTTCTGTTTTAAATGGTTTGCAATGGCAAAATATGGAAACGCATTTTTGGACGGATTCTACAACAGTTTTGACATGGATTCAAAGGGAAGAGATTGTCTGGGCTGTCTTTGTGGAAAACAGAGTCAGGGAGATTAGGAAACTGACGGATCCAAAAACGTGGAAACATATTGCTGGAACAAAAAATCCAGCTGACCTCCCATCAAGAGGTTGCACCGCCTAAACAACTTTTAGCAGTTAGATGGTGGGAGGGCCCCGACTGGCTGAAGAAAAATCAGGAAGAATGGCCTAGACAAAGGGAAATACCGGACATGGAAATAGTGAATTCAGAAAAAAGGAAATCAGTCATTTCTGCACTAAATACGCAAAGGGTAGAACATTTTTTTGAGAAATATTCATCTTACCATAAAATGTTAAGAATAACTGCTTGGATATGCAGATTTATCAACAACTGCAGAAGACCAGATTCTAAACAATCAGGAGAACTCACGGTCCCTGAAATAGAAACTGTAGAAAAGAAAATATGCAAAGATAATACAAATAGAAGCATTTGGCAAAGAACTTAAAGTTAGCAACCTTTGTACCTTTTTTGACTCAGATGGCCTTATTCGGTTAAAGACCAAGATTACTAGAAGAGAGGAAGAAGAAAATTTTCTCTGTCCAATTGTATTGCCCTCAAATCATGACTTAGTTCATAGGTTAATTTTAGATTACCATTTGCGACTATCCCACGCTGGTGTGCAATTCGTACTAGCCAATATTCGACAGAAATTCTGGGTCCTGAGAGGAAGAAAAACAGTACGTAAAGTTCTTATGAAGTGTGTTCGCTGTAGAAGATATAGCGCAAAGAATATAGAGACTGTTCCAGCACCTCTTCCTGAAGATCGAGTTCGAGATGCTCTGGTGTTTGAAGTGACCGGAGTCGATGTAGCCGGTCCTCTTTATTTAACGAAAAGGAAAAAAGGCATGGATCTTGCTCTTTACTTGCGCGGTCTATCGCGCGATACATCTTGAACTGATAGAAAGTTTATCAACAAATGCGTTCATCTTGGGATTAAGGAGATTTATTGCCAGAAGAGGTCGTCCAAGTATTATTTACAGCGACAATGGCACTAATTTCGTTGGAACTGAAAATCTGTTAAGATCGATAGATTGGAAAGAAATAGAATGTAATTCAACTAGTATGAGAATACAGTGGAAGTTTAATCCCCCAACTGCTTCATGGTGGGGCGGTTGGTGGGAGAGGTTGGTACAAACAGTGAAGAAGATGTTGAGAAATGTTCTCGGCAAGTCCTGTGTCTCTTATGAGGAAATGTTGACTATACTTTGTGATATCGAATCAGTAATCAACTCAAGACCCCTTACGTACCTTTCAGAAGATCCAAATGATCTTACGGCACTAACTCCTTCAATGTTTCTACAAGATGTGCACGACGTCGGAGTGCCTGACTTAGACTACCTGGATACCATTAATCTGACAAAAAGATACAAGTTCTTGCAGAACTTAAGAGAACATTTTCCGCAAAAGATTTCGTGATGAATATTTAGCTATCCTAGTGCAAAAACCATCTAAACGATCTACTCGGACTATCAACAAAAATGACTTGGTGTTTGTCGGCAGCGACAACAAGAAGAGAATAGATTGGCCAATAGGTCGTGTTGTAGAACTATATCCTGGGAAAGACAACGAAGTACGTGTTGTCAAAGTGAAAACTGCAACGGGTGAACTCCTAAGACCTGTGAAACGTATTTATCCTCTCGAACTTGATAGACCTAACTTGTTTAGTGACTTCACCATGAACATAAAAAACTCTGCGGATAAGTGTTACAGTGATATGAACTATCAAACTAGATATGGACGTAAAACTGTAAAACCTCTTACATATTTTTAAATTGCTATACTAATTTTTGTTTCTTTTCAGTATTTTAGAAATTTAATTGTCCTAACAGTTGTCAATTGGAACATGTTATCTGGATATGGTATGAATGTAATGCAGAAAATGTTTAGATGTGTAATCCTTCTTTGTAAGTATTAATTTTAGAGCATTAGTTACTTTTCATATTTGTGAAAGTTGTACTTGAATTTTTGTTTGATTATTGATAAATTTTGTTTTGATTTTCCCATCTTATCGAGGTAAAATCAAAAGGTGGGAGGATGTCACATTCTTGCCACTAGGTGGCGGGCATCTCTTCCTTTACTTTTGCTGTAATTAAGTTCCGAGAAGCAGTCGAGATTGGAACCGCTCTGAGGAGCGTAAAGACTCAGAACTAAAAATGTACTGTTTTAAAATAATTATCACCTACCTTGTAAATAGTGTATATTAGCTTTTTATTTCAATAAATAATTAAAAGACAAGATGGCCTGCTAATTGTAATAGAAACTCTTACTGGAAAACGTGATTATTAGAAGCCTGGCGTCGAGAACACTGAAGATGCAGCAGGTAAGGAATTTTACATTAATTTTATTGTAAATAGAAGAACCTGATGCAACAGTCATTCTTTGTCAGCAGTAATACAATGAGGCGTTCCTAAGTGACATATCCAGGTTAAAAATCATGCCATTTGCAACTGTTTATGATGGCTTCTCTGTTATAGAAAGTGCTTCAATCCATCTTGAAAAAAGATCAATCACTGTTAGCAAATATCTAAAGCCTTGACCTGTAGGTAGGGTCTAAAAATATCAATGTGGATGTGTTGAAAACATTCGAGTGGAACTTTTAAATCCATTAGAGCTGACTGCGTGTGTTTTTGAAATTACATTTTTAGCATTCCAGACATACCGACTTCATTTGATAATCATTATTAATATTTATCAAAATGAATCCTTGGGTGATTAGTTTTTGATTCTTTTGAGTTTCAGGGTCAACGAAGGTAGAAGGTAGAAACAAAGCTGTCTTTAATCTATTTGTTGTCCTTTGGTGGACTAATCAAAATATCCGACACTTGCATAATATTTCAGCTTCAGTGAAGTTGATGACGTAATCATATTTCGTTTGATCTGCCATTACTGTATCATTTCGAATTGTATCTCCAATTGCAGAAACCATATTTTTGAATCCGGTTTCCAAAAGTGTGGAATTTTGATGCTAACCCTAGCAACTGTCGACTGATGTTGATGCATCATTGTAATTGCTATTATCGATGTAATTGTTATTTTTCAACATCGTTTGCTATTTTCGTTTAATTAATGATCGAGTCCGGTTGTTACCAACGAAGGGGATGTTATTAGCATCCCATTACCTTTTACCCGAATTTTATAAATAAAGATTAGGAAATTTGATAACAAGAAACATTTTTAATATGTGAAAAATAATGCGGTTAGCATTTCACAAAGTTTTTAGAAACAATATGGGAGGTGCTACACAAGGAGGTTTGGTGCTACACCTTTAACGTTCTCTGATTCTATCATTTATTATATAAAAGCAAATTATTACAACTAATTTACTCCTAATATTTATAGAAATGAGATGATGATGGAATAAGATGACGCCGTATCTGGAAGATGATGTATTTGCCAAATTAGAATTATTTCAAGAGTTTCTATCAATTAGTTGTGCTTTAAAACCGAAACTTCGTAGTCTGTATTAAAGTTATAAATTTTAAAATGGCAACAAGATCATCAGCTGAAGATATCGGAGGCGGAGAGATTTGTGTCGTAAACAGCTGATTTTGAATTTCTTGTATGATGTGTAGAGAGCAATGTGAACAATGTTTTCTCACCAATAAATTGTAAATTCTTTTCTTGCTTTGCGGTGCGATATTTCACACAAGAAAATGATTTCTTTCAAATGGCTTTTCGTTGAATATTTAAAAAGATCTTAGTTTTTTTCACGTGACCAATGGGTTCCAGAATCAGGTAAGTTTTTTCTTTATTGTGACGTTTTCTCTTCTCATAATTATGCTTAAGTACTTGAGTGAACTTCAAAATTCTTTGATGGAAATGTCATGCAATATTGGAATTTTTTCTGAAATATAAGGCTGCTAATTTGCTTATGGAAGCCATATGTTTACATAACAAAAATTTTATTGTAAATATCAAAGCATTATAAGTATGTTTTCTGAGAAACAGTAAATAGTATGCTAGAATCGTAATTCGTTTCGAGGTGAAAATAATCAACGGTAATGTTGTTACTTTATTTTACTTGTTTATACTTGGTGTTACTTTATTTTACTGATTAGCTACTTCATTTTTAACTTTTGCTATTGCCTTTCGTATTGATTGGATGTCATAGAATTCACGTCATACTTAAATTTTAACTTTTACTATCGCGTAATTACGAGCAAAGCGTATTTTTGTTTTCGGGAGGGAAAAAGTAGGGCAAAAAACAAAAGATTCAATTCATGATATAGACACATAGCAAATTATAAATCTCTACGATCTTATTGGCTGATTTAATGAGTATTATTATGCCAGGTGGCAGAATTCAGGGGTGACAAAATTTTTGGAGTTTAAAGAGTTACTGGGCAGTAGAATGTAGGAGCCACAATCGTAAGTTTAGTACAGGTCCTCCTTTTGAATTACAGTAAAAATATTTTGAAAAATATAACACTAACAGTTAAAAAATAAAATTTTAAAACCCTACTGCATACATAGAAATTCCAATAATTAGTACATAACTAAATAAATATTTGTAATAATAACAATAATTTAAATATTTTGTTACTATTATTATATGAGGTCAGAAATTCCATTGAAGATATTTTAATGTGAATTTTATTTGTGGTTGCAGGTTTATGTTGTTAAACTGTCTTTTCCTATATTAACTGCATCTTCTAAACTGTATTTAGATTGGATTTTACAATAGGATTATTTTGTATTATGTTTTTCTGTTTAAATTTCCTTGAAATGACAATAATTTGCAAATAGTGGGCATATATCTGATATTCATGGACATAGACTTGATATTTACACAATCTCATTGAACGCATGGAAGTTTATAGATGCCACACTGAAACCTCATAAGGAATATTGGTACTATTCCGTTTTGAGGACCGTAAAAATTCGAAAAACTATTGTTGATGCCAGTGCTGCCAAAAATAATTGTGGCAACCCTAACGCAAGAAAGGAAGTATAATAGTAAAATAACTATCTAAAGATTATTGTTTTAATTTATATGAAATTTAATATCATATAATGCCTTTTTATTATTATAATTTATATTTAAAAGGCCAAGTTACCGTAATGTAAAGATCAACCAAAGGCTAAACATAACTGAATGGGATTCCTGCATCACTATTTCGCTACCGAATTATCGCTAAAGCATAATTTCATCTCGTTGGATTTTCAAACATAATTTTCTATAATGAATGATGCCTTTCCTTTGAAAAAATTCTATTGCAGACTTTTCATCATAGGCAATTCCTAAATTGTTAAATCCATAGGATATCAAAAAAGGATTTAAAAATTAAACTAGTATATCATTGGCATCTTAAGAAATATAGAATTATCTAAACTTACGCAATCTGAAATCAGCACGTATGTAGATTTGGCGCGTTTGCTAGATTTGCCGTTTTTGCGCATACATTTTCGCTGCAATTTTTTTACGGTCCTCAAAACGGAATATTACCGGAATATTTTATTAAAAATTAGGATAATAAAGGTGGAGTCATGGAGATGTAGCATTATAACAGTTTTAAATGATGTTGGTGAGAAACATTTTTAAGTACATCAGATATTTATTTTATAAAGATTTCTGTATCTATATTTAGTATGAAATATGATTTCCATTGATATGTTAACTCTTTCGCATCGAGAGAGGGCAAAATCTCTTTTCCCCAAACATCGAAAATGTCCGTGTCTACGAATTTCTCCTGGAATGCTTTTCCTTACCCCTATGACAAATTGAATACTATAGCGCTAACAATAACCTACTTAAGCAAAGCGAGAACTTCTTTCTTGGATGCTTTCATCCTGTGTGAAGTTTCTCCCTTGGGACGGGATTGCAACTTTGGGTGTCAAAAGCTAAACATTGACAGTAAACAAAGGAAGGAGAAGGTGCATTAAAATAATAGAACTACTTTTAGTTGCTTCAAAAGAATGATTGGCATGTCATTTAACAACACCTGAAAGCAATGAGTAATGCAGTAATGTGATGGGAGAAAACACTAGACAGGAAATTATTCAGGCACTTGGGGTGTCCAGCCGATATCTGAATGCTCGGGCGTTTAAGGTGAAAGAGTTAAAAGTGTGAAAAACTTTTGAAATAGACAAAATTTAACTACCCGTAACTGTAGGTAATTGTTAATTTTAAATGAAAAGGCTTGATGCATGTAATTTGACAGAGGTTCTGACAGAAGTCAGTCTTCTGACAGAAAAAATCTGACAGAAAGATGTCTTCATCCAAAGAAAATTTTTCAGCATTCTGATTCGTGTCAGGATATTGGGAAGTTTTATTTTGAATGAACTCTGGTTGTTTTGCTAGCTGAATTATTAGCAGCTTTGTGGTTAACAATGTCGCAGATTAGCTTACGAGGAAGTTTTTTCTGTACTCATGTTTCTGGTTATGGCTGTGACACCTTTATATTAATAATATAGTAGTATTAGCTCTATTTCATCTCTTTAGTAAATGAATGGAATTTTAGTAAATATGGAATCTTGAACGATTTTATTTTATGATAACAGATTGTATTGTGTATTTAAGAGAGGGCTACTAAAGGATAGTTCCTCCTTTATCACCAATCTGTCCCATAGGTGTTTCCTTTCTTGTATATTGACAAGTAATAGAAAATTTAAAGTGAGGTCTTTCAAGGCCTTTGTAAATATTTGTACTGGTACACAGTGCACAATTTAATCATTGCAGTCTTGAAATTTTAGTAAATGTAGAATCTTAAAAGATTTTAAGCTCTAGTGTAGAATTGGGTGCCCCTTCGATTAGTGAAAATTTTTTTTAAATTTTGGCGATGAAACCTCATTTCTGGTTTCCATGATAAGTTTTAACTTTGTTTTACCTTTCTGATTTTTTTAAAAATGAAAATGGATTGGACAAATTTAAGGCAGTGTGCGATGCCTAGTTTGTGCAATTCTGCGATTTTTTTTTTTTTTTAAGTGAAAACAGATCGATGTGTACATGGACACAGAGTTTGTGCAATTCTTTGACTTTTTATTTTGGTTTTGTGTAGCGGCCATCTTGAAATTGTGCCTTCCGGGCGCTGATCTTGGCGTCAAAAAAGAATCACCAAAAAACAAGGGGCACCCTATTGTAAACTTTTACCAGATTTTATTTTATGATAAACAGATTTTATTGTGTATATAAGAGAGGGAAACCTATACAACTAAATGGATAGTTCAGTGTCACCCTTCTGTCTACAGAAATTTGTCTCTCCTTTATCACCAATCTGCCTCTTCTTTCTTATTCATAGGTATCTTCTTTCTCATTTATTTATAAGTAATAGAAAATTTAAAGTGAGATCTTTTTCAAGGCTTTTTTGTAATTCTTTGTATCAGAATAAAAAGTCAAAATTTAGAGCTCAAATTTTCTTAAATATTTGAGGTTAGATAGACTTCTCACATTAGTTTTTTATTAATTTTAATAAATTTTTTAGTCTTGGGAATAATTATTAAGAATTAAATTATAATTAAAGATGAACTTCTTTTCCTATTATGTAATTTTCTCTAGTTTGTTAAATGAATTATTTGTGATTTGTTAATTATAGGGAGAATCCTTCTCATGTTTTTGAATGCTTTTGTGAAATAGTCATTCCCAATGGAAGTGAAAGCAGTATGTTTATTTTTCTTTAAAATTTATTCCTTTTATATTAAATCTTTGTATTTGCTATTTATTAGGTTTTGCAAATGTTTTAAATATTACTATGTTTACTTTTTAAGAGCCCTGGATAATTCAGAAATATCCTGAAGATTTCAATGATGAGGTATATGTTACATTAAAAAAATAATTGTCATTTTGTTGTTATTTTCTATGTGTTATTATGAAGTTATTTTCTTCAGATAGTAGATATTGTATATTTATTTGTATAATTGAATAGTATATTTATTGAATCACTTATTTCTATTTAACTATTAAAATAATTTAAACTTTTTGAGCAATTATATATACTGTATTCAGAATTATTTTAGAACTAATTTAACATAAAAGAGAATAAGGAATTTTGCTTATTATCCAGTGAAAGAAATCAAAGTTATATATAATAATAGTTGTGATGTTGCATGCTGGTCTGAAATATGAGTTAAAAAGAGATTTTTTTAAATTGAAGTTGCCTATAGTGAACTGACACATTTCCTGATATTCCACTGGTGTGCAAAACTTAAGCAACAGCAGAGTTTTTTGCCATAATTCTATGAGAAATCAACTGAGAGACATGAAATGCAGAAATGAAAGAGAGTATTATGTACGTAAAGGATGACGAAAGCATCGGAGCTGAAAAAGGAATAAAATGCATACGGTATGGAATCAAACAAAATCAATCTTTATTGAACGCATAGTATCATGACTCATGATTGTCTATCCAAGAGAAAGAACAACAAACAGATGTTCCTTAATATGGGATATGCCCTCCCCTCACTGCAATGGTTGCTTCGCAGTGTCTCTGCATACTCAGAACCAGCTGGTGCAACATTTTTTGCGATAGGAGTACCCATTCCTCAATCAGCATCTGTTTGAGTTATTGGGTGTTCTCCGGAGAATGTAAGCGTGTGTTTGCAATGTGTTCCCCAAAGCATCCCACACATGTTCGATGAGATTTAAATCTGGGGAGTACGCTGGCCAATCCATTCGAGTGATATCTTCACTTTCCAGTAGCTTCTCAACAGCAAGAGTCCGATGTGGCCGTGCATTGTCATCCATAAAAATCAAGTCTGGGCCAATGGCACCTCGGAACAGACGCACATGGGGAAGGAGTATCTCCTCACAATAGTGATCCCCAGTTACAGATCCTCTGTCGAAAACGTGGAGCTCAGTTCGCCCGTTCAGCATAATGCTTCACCAGACAAGAACTCCAAGACCACTGTTACGGTGTCTTTCCTTGATGTTACAGGAATAAAACCGGGTCCCGACCTCTCTCCAAATCAAAACGCGTTGAAAATCGCTTCTGGTACTGAACCGACTCTGATCCGTAAGGAGGACATGACTCCATTGATCAGTTGTCGAGTTTTTGAGCTCTCTGCAGCACTGTAAACGGTGGCGTTGGTGGCCAACTTTCAACAGGAGGCAGTGTTCAGGATGGCAGGCGAATAGGCCCCCTTTGTGAAGCCGTCTGGCCACAGTAAACCGCGACACTTGTCGCCCCGTTGTTGTACAGAGTTTCTGAGCAATGGTGCTTGCTGACTACTGTTGGCCTCTTTTCGCCTGCAAGAAGATATATCAGGTCATCCCCTGCAGTTGTCGTCCTCAGGCGACCACCACCAACCGCACTCCGACATCACGTGTTTTGTGTACGTTCACGTTCCCTCTGACATTTCGTTCCTGATATTTGCATACGCATGACGTTTCAACTGACTTTAACGGTTTCATTGTACTGAAATCTCCAGCTACCTGGTGACTTTTCTGCAATTTCATGGCTATCTGCTAAATTTTTACATTGTTGCTTAAGTTTTGCACACCAATTTAATATATTTTAATGTAAATTTGTAACACTAAACAGAGGCAGTTAAAAAAAAATCTATATTCTGTTATTCAGACAGCAGACAAGTGCTGCTTGAGGAATCACTGTTCATTACATTCATTCTTTATTTTCATCTCTATTAAGAAAAAAACATTCTGTGAATATGCTGTGAGAGATACTCAGAATGAAATTATTGTTCATGTAAAATTAACTAGAGATAAAAAAAAAGTGTACAGTTCCAGTTACTTAGCATTAGATGAATGTGTGTGTTTTATCAGTTGCAAACATATGTTGGTTACGACCATTGCTGGTAGTATTAATTATATCCAACCATTAGCATAGCTAGCAGCTACATAGAGCATTGTTTTAGTTTTGGTGCTTTGTTAGACTGTTGCACAGATTTTTGTTGATTTTTTTTGGCGATTGATACAACTTATGGTAAACCCATTGCTGGACAAGTTAGTTATAGTAACCGATACTTTGTTGTCATTTTATTTAAAAAATAATGTGTTTTATTATGCATAAATTCTGTGTTTTTAGATATTATTTATGGCTTCTAAATATTAAAAATTTAATTTTGAATTTTATTGTTTATGATATTTTATATAATTTTATGTTGTGGATGATATAATCAATGATGTCACCTTGCTTTAAAAGTAATTGGTTTTAATATCTATAAATTTAATCTAATGTTTTAAACATTGTTAAAAATGTCTGTTAAATATTAAAATACAATTTAATTTTGCATTTTTTAAAAAAAGAATTTTATTATGTATGATTATTTAAATAATTTTAATTCTATGCATGATATAATCAGCTCCCTTGTTAGTTACAAAATATTTGTGCATTACGAGCTGTAATCAGCTCCCTGATTGGTTACTGAATATCTGTGCATTACCGTGCCATTTTAAAATTTTCTTATTCATCTCTTCGAATTCTTTAGCTTTCATAGCGAACGGATATGTCCCTTTCAAAGATTAATGTTGTTATTGGTAATTAACAAGAATTATTGGTATCGAAATCAAAAATTTGTTCTTTGAGACCTTATTTTGGCCAACCTGGCTTTCCTAATCGAAGATTGATATTTAAATTATTACAAGGGTTAGAGGAAATTAATTTAAAATTTTTATTTTTGGAGGAAACCTTGCTAATCAGCAATGATAGCAATTTAACAACTTATTTTAAAGTATTTGACTTTAAGTAATATTTTAATTATTTTAAACATTGGTATGATATTTTTAATTTGATATTCAATTTAAGTAGTATTTTAATTCAGTTAAATGTTGGCTCAGTGTTTTTATTCTATTCCTTTGCTATATGAAAGTAATAATTTAACCTTAATTTTATACTCATAGTAAATATATTTATTTACATTTGCCTGCCATCTTAAAAAGTGACGTTTTCAACATATAATTAATCCATTATTTTTAACGATACTTATTTTTTTAAAGTTTCGAATACTTTACTATGTGTAAATACGTAAAAACAGTGTTTTTCCAGATGGTTGAGGATTGCACAAACCGCGCCAACAATTGCACCAACGTAAATCGCCAAAAATCCATGCAACCGTCTACCAAAGTAGCGCCCTAGTTTTGTAAACATAATCATTAATTTAAAATTCTAAAAAGATCTACTAAATTTAATATTTGTAATCATATATTTGTTTTGCAGGAAATTCTGAAGTCTGTGCCTGAATTTTCGTGTCCTTGTGAATTTACAAAGTAATAACAAGATATATTTTCTGAAATTTTCATGTTATTTTTTTGTCTACTTATGGAACATAAAGCATCCAAAGCAAATTATCATAAAATGATAGAAATTTTTTATTTTGATGTTTAAAACATTTTTAGTTATTAAAATTGATGTCATTACACTTAAAGTTATATTTTTAAGCAATAAAAATATCTTTTAAAGGGAAAAATTACTGTTGAATTATTTCAAAGAATGATCAAAATAATTTCAACAAAAGTAAACATTGAAATATACATACAGAAATTGCACATAATGAGAACTAATGTGATTTGGTTGAATTCTTTATAAAGCTTCAGTTTAAGCTATCACTTGTTTGAAAAGATATTACAGGCATTTCCCATTTAATACAGTTTATATAAACACATTTTTGAATTATCATTGCAAATATTTTTATTTATTGTGAAGTGATTCAATTAATACAGTACAGATTGTGTATAAAAGATGCAGTTACAGTTGAACAACATGTATTTTTAGCCCAAAATGTGTTAGCCCAGAAGGGCTATTAATTTCGTTTTGGCATTTTGCGTTGGTTCACTATAAATGTTGGTTCACTTTTCAATTCGTTGTCACCAAATATTAGAGCCCTGTGTTATAGTTAGTGAAATTAAATAATGAAGAATCTGCATAACTGTATGAATGTTTCTTGCATTGTGATAAAATAACGGTACCTAGAGCCATCAAATTTTGAATAATGTAATCTTTCACTGAATATGGGCATCTGGAAGCCCAAATTTGAAATTTGTTTTATTATCGATTTCATATTTTGTAGCACTTTTAACAAATTTTTGATTAAGAAATTCGACGATTTCAAAGCGAGCAATGGCAATATTGTATGAAATTTTTTTTTTTTTTTTTTTTTGATCTCCAGCATGCGAGACTGTGTATAGGAAATTCTAAAGATATGCTTCAAAGTCTAAGTATTTCTCTTTCAAACTATTGCCAGAGTTTCTTCAGACTCTTGTAGCAGTTCTTTCATAGGTAGATTGAATTACACAAAATGAGACCATTACCTACCTATAAGAAAAAGTTTGAGCCATTTCAGCTTGATGGTGTTTTGTGGTTAAGTAATAATTATCCAGACAAGCATTCTTTTACATATGTGTGTATATATATATATATATATATCATTAAGTTTTATCACTTATTTTTTAACATTAAAAGAAAGAGTTTTGCTGAGTTTTGCCTTGAGGTATGGTGTATAGAAAGTATTCAACATATCAAACTCTTATATGTGATGTTTTCTTTTGTGCAAACCCTTTCTTCTTTATTTTCTAGATTACCTTAAAAAATGAAGGGTCATTTTACTACTCACATTTTATATTCTTTGTTTTATGAAGGTATCAAATTGATTCAGGTGTTAATATTATATTTTTGAAACAAACCTTGAAGACATTTGATAATAATCTGGTACTCAGAATGTGTTTCCCAAACTTTGACATTGTGAAGTAGTCTTCTCCAAATTTGCTTCTTAACCATTTCATCAGGTTTCCACATTATCTAATAATTTTATATCTAATTTGAAAGATAAATTATTAATATTTAGAATATAAGATTCCAAACTTTGAATGTTACTGCAATGTGTCTTTAACATTGAGAACTGCTAAGTGAATAATCACTTTAGTTCAAAATGATAGAAGCATAATCTTATGAAGGGTTGAATACCCTTTATTATTCCAAATAAAGTTTAACAGATGACACCTTTCTTGAAGTTTACAATAAAGCCTCCACTTGGGCCGAGCGTAATAATAGCTTGTGAAAGAGTATCGCCAAAAGGCTAATGCCTGCTGAGCAAAATCTCCTCTCTGACAAAGTCAGTAGAACTTCACAGTTAAATACTTCTTCTCCTCATTTGCATTCAAACACAAATCTGAAAATACGTTCTAGCCAGAAGTTGTAAGCTGAAATTAAGGAAAGATAATAAAGTAACTTTAACTCAAAATTAACTGTTAGGAAAATTAAGATTAACCTTACAAGAAGTAATCAGAGGCTTAAAGATTTGTTTTACTGCAGAGAATAAGTAAAAGAAATCTTATAAAATTTTTTTTTTTTTTTTTTTTTTTTTTTTCTTTCAAGTTTATCACATATTTTTAGACTCGACAAAAAGATCAGAGGATTTTTCTGCTCCCATGCCAAAAACAAAACACACCTCCTTCAATTCCCCCCCCCCCCATTTTGAAAAATTGACTCGCTTACTTAAATGCCAACTGGCTAGCAAATCTTTTTTTATGTGGAAAAGAACACCTCAGGAAGTGGCCAGAGAATGACCACCTGAAGCAGTTAATAGCGATCCAACTTTAAAAATGTGTATAAAAAGTAACGGTACTTTTCCGTTTTACCGGCGCAAGCGATAAAGTCGCTAATAATGGTGCAACCGATGCCAAACGGAATATTCTCGCTGGTAACCTTTTACGCCTCATTTTCAAAACAAGTCGCAGCTTTTTCTTATCAGATTGATTGTTTCTTTCAATACTGACATATAATTACATAGAATTTTTATCAGATAGTTCAGTTTTATGTCCAAGGCCATTTTCGGTAATTAAGTCAATTAGGATGCAATCAACAGCGCTTACCCGAAGCCGAAAATATAGAAAAGGTAAAGTCAAGAGTTAAATTCATCAATTCTAATGAGAATGCATTAGCGAAGTAAAGTACTGCAGTTTTACATAATTTCTGAGTAAGCTATTCGTACGAATTGAAATATTTCTTGCATTTAAACTTGTGTTCCAAATTAAGATTTAACTTGAAATTAATGTAGATAATTACTGAGAGCATTAGATTTTTGTAGAGAGTAGTTTACGTGAGAAGAGATCGCTTCGGGTCACGTGATATGAACCATGAAAGCGTAATAAATTCTTAAATTAATGTCTTTTTTACAAATTTATTGTCTTTATTTATCGGTTTTTTTATAAAATTTTAAGCGATATTAAAATGTTTATGCCTTTAAAAAAGAATTCTTAAAACTAACATTTTTTTAAATATTTTTTATGTGTATACTGTATGTTGACGCCAATAAAGTCTGCTTGGCGAGATTTGCGCCGGCGAAACGGAAAAGTACCAAAGTAAATTTATGAAATTCAGAGATAATCAAGTAAAAATATATTTAAATGTAAATTTCTAAACTAATTGACATAGACATAAAATTTCAAATTTGTGAAAATTTGTATGCATTATATATATACACATTTCTTTACCTGATAAATTAACTACTACTATTTTTAAATACCACCAATACTCAGACATTATTTAAAACACATTTCTCCCCCCCCCCATAGTCTTGATGCTAACAGCTTGTAAATTGTAACAATTTAAGATTGTTACAGTTTAAGATCAAAGCAATTACTTATATTAATTTTAAAGAAACAAACTAATCAAACATAACTAAGATTTAAAATTTAAATTCTACTGTTGAGTTACCTTAAGCAGTTTGGATCTAAAATAATTAATAAAGCAAACCCAACAGAAATTTAAAATAAAAATTAAGTACATCGCAACAAATCTATTAAATATTATTATTAGCTTTGTACTAATAAAATTTGTTTTAAAATTTTTACAATGATTATTGTATGTTGACCAGGTTTAAAAATTTCAGTAATTTATTAAGTGTCATGTCAGAATATCAAATATTAGCCATAATTAATCTATTAGATATTATTAAATTTATACTAATAACTTAAATGAATAAAGACTGCATTAAGATCATTATCTGTGTAGGTTAAAATGCCAAACTTATATATTTCTGAAGTAAACTGAAATTCTGGAGTAAAGTGAATTGAGAGCTTTCCAAAAGAGGTGAAATGCAGATAGTTTTAAATATAAGAAAAATGCTTTTTTGAGAGTTCAGATATGTAGTTGAAATTCTGGACTGAATTTCATTTTATTAATATCACACTTCAGATATTATATTTTTAGAATAAATATTATATTGTAATACACTAACACAATTAATTACTATGTATACATTTTTCTTGCCTTTGATGAAACAAATTTGTCAATTACTTCATTGGAGCCAGTCATTTCAAATTTTTCCGTTTCCACATTTAAAAATGCTAGGTCACTTAGGCGATCTTGTCCCATCATTGCCAAAATTAATCTTAATTTGCTGAACAAGCTTTCATAGCTAGCAGTTGATACTAAAATAGTAAAGAATATTTGAAGTGAGACTTTCACGTTTGGAAAAACATTCTCTCCATTCGAGCTTATAAAGGTAAGAAGCTCTAATAGTGTTTTAGGTTCAATTTCTTATCTACTGTGGAATAACATCATACAGTCACATACTTCTACATAGAGTTCTGTTCCATTAAAATCTGTATCTCCAAATTTGGAATTAAGATACTTAGTTGTGTAAACTGTGTAACTATGTTCTGCTGCAGACTATCAGAAATGCTAAAGGCCAACATCTCTAGTCAATTGTCTGGGCATTTTCGGTGTCTTCTAACATGGATTGTTGTATTAATACCTCATTTTTCACAAAGAGACTAAGCTTTTTCTATTGGCTGTTCATGGATCTCATCTCAAATTTCTGCAAGTTTAATCTCTATTGATTTAAGATTATGCAATGCTTCTCTAAAATTCATTCTGCAATATGAGCTGCACATGATCAGTTTTCCTCAAGAGTTCATACTAGAAGTTGACTTAAGTTATGAAATTAAAATTCAGTGTATTTTGCATATTTTGCAATAAAATTGTAGCTTCACTTCTGGTATCACTTGTGGTAAAACTGGCCTTTGCAAATTTTTTTAATAGCTATACTAATTCTTCCAGCCCATCAACAGTAACACAAACTGCTCGTATTCTGGCACTCCATCTTGTTTCATATGCATGTTTAGCAGTTTTCTTTAAAGCATTTTTTAAATTTCCATTGTAATGTTGAATATGAGAAAAAGAGATATTTGTTTCCAGTTATTCCAAAACGTGCTTCAATGACAGGGTCATGCTTAGCTGCACTAACTCCTATTAAATTTAGTGTGTGGTTATCACAGTTTACAAATAATGTTTCATTATTTTTTTTCCATAATTCTTTGTTGAATGCCAGATATGTGACTTGACATCATGGCAGCATTATCATAACATTGTAATCTACAGTTTGTCAATGAAATTTGATCAAAATTTAATTTTTCTAAAATTTTATTTTCAATTGAAGCTGCATGTTTGGCATGTATTTCAATAAATCCCCCAAAAGATTTTTTTGACAGAAACATTTCTGCTGGTAAAATCAATACCTACATACCTAGACTTGCGACATTGTTCTTGATGAGAGATATCAGGAGTCGAATCAAATAAAAATCCATAATATTTATTTCTTTTGATGTCACTTATGAGTTGATTATTGTAGTTTAGCAGAATTATTAATAGTTAAAGGTCGTAGGGCATATAATAAAAGACTACAGTTATTGTTTTAAAATAACAAGCAGGGCCCAGATTTAGACTTATGAGGACCCTAAGTTATTTGAGATGTGAGGCCCTAGTCTGTTATACTATAATTTAATACTATATTTTAATTTTTTGGGGGGCCTGCAAGAAAGGGGATGCCCTAAGCACCCCCTTTCTTGCAGGCCTTGTATGTAAATCCTGCACTGGTAACAAACATGAAATGTACATGCATTTCGTTTAAAAAATAAAAATGTTTCGCTGTTTTAAAAAAATAAAGTGTTCAGAAAGAAAGACTATTTTGCATACGGAGATATTTGATTGATTTACTGCAAATATTATTGATAACATATCAGACAAATCAAGAGAGGAAATAATTATATTACAATAATTATTAATTTAAAATTTATATCCCAGAAATTGATCAAAGTAAAAATTGAAATTTTCCAGAAAATCTTGTTTGTCTTGGGGACCATTTGCCATTCCTCTACAAGTGGGGCTCAGGACATTATAGAAGCCTTTTGCCCCAAGACACATTTCCTTCAAAGAACTGGTAATTTATTTGCCAAGGAATATTGTAAATTGAGCCAGAAGATTGTAATTCTAGTTTAAATTTCACATCTTGCAATATATCAAATTTTATTAATATATGCTTTTTGGAATATACTATAAAATGGTTTACCTGTATCTGTAAAATGATTTACCAAACTTAATTTCAAATTTTACTCATTTTACATGTGAAATGAAATATTATATTATTTTCAAGATTGTGCTGTCAGGTTTTTGGCAATCATGTATGCATAAGAGATCTACCTAATTTAGTGAGGTGAATTTTAAAAAAGTATAGTCTTATACCATGGATTTTTTTATTACTTTCTAATGTTTCTAAAAATGTCATTATTTCAAATTTCCAAACTTCAGAATTAAAATTTTTTTATGAGTATTTATATGTCAGTTTTTTAATTATTATATTACAAAGCAAAACTGTGATATCTTTTTCTGCATTTTCTCTAATTTAGCACTGCAATACAGCACTTTTCATTTGTTTTGACAAGCCTAGATAGCAAATGGACTTTTGGTTATTGTCGGCATGCACCAAATGCACCTACACTTTTGGTGTTAATTAGGTAATGCTATTATTATTTAGCAAAATAGTCAGTTCTTTATTTTAACATTATTTAATTTTTTTAATATCTGCTTTTTTATAGCTATTTGCCCTGGCACGAAACATTTTACAAAATCTTAAATCAAATATCAGATCTTGCAAATGATAAAGAGGTACTATTTTAATATATATTCTAATTATTATATAGCTAACAGCCTTTTTTAATATTCCATTTTGGTGGCATATAGGAATGGAAATTAATTTTAATTTCATTATTTAGTCTGGCCTGCTGACAAGGTTCTTAAGTGCTTTGTATTGTTCTTCAGTTCCTGATCCTGGACTTAATTTACATGTTTCATATGATAATAAAGTATGTATTTTTCCTTTGGTTTTAATAAAGTATTTGCTTCTTTATTCAATAATGAAGACAGTAATAATGAAATTTTTTCAGGAGTTCATTGTGTATTGTCCAAATCATTTCAAACTTCCAAGCATTCCTGAAAATGTGAGTTTTTTTTTTTAATGTATATTTTTTATTATTTAAAAAGCAACAATTTTCTATTATTTTAACCTTTTTTTATATTATTATATTACAATATGTATTGTCATTGTATGATTTATTTTGAAAATACTCTAACTGCAGAGCATTGTAACTAGTTATGCAATATGAAAATCACTGTTTGCTTCTGCCAGTACACTTTTGCAGGGCGAGATATGAATGGAGCAAGATTTCTTAAAAGATATCTTCAGATGCCTGGTAGCATTATGTTACTTTCTGATCTTTTAAATCAGTTGTTGCCAGCAGCAGGTGTGTGTATGGACCATAGATCATTCTCTGTGTCCTGCAGTAAAGTTAAAAAAAAAGTTTATTTGGAATTCCTGATGCATGTTTATTTTCATACTTTTATATGTAAAGTGCAATAGATAAACTTACGGATAAAATACTTTTTTGATGAGGCACATACTGATGACAGTATGCTATAAAAAGCAGATTTTGGTAAACCTGTTAGCAAATAATTGAAAATTGACTTTAGTAAGCCTGTTGCTTCACTGGATTCCCAATGTTTTTGTTAGCCGTAAAGTTTAAAAATGCAAATACACTCTTTAACATAAGAACATGCATCCGAAATCATGTTTGATTTTTATACAATTCTGCATCCAAATATACCAGGATCAAATGAGCAGGTGATTAGAATATTAAAACTAGTAATCAGATAAAGATCTCCTGTACCATCTGGTAAAGACATATCAGATATAGCATAAAGAGCAAAACCCATCTGCAAGGATATTTCTAGCAGCAGATGTTGCTGTGCAAATTTCAGTGGACTGAAAAGATGTCTTGACACTAGTATGATTATAAATAATTAATAACTGGAATTCAGAAAAATTATATGTTATTGTTAGAAGAGGTTGTATAATCAAAGTGTTCTCTCACCCAGCACATGGAGAGGTGTGATATGCAGTCTTCAATGTTGGTACCTAAGTTTCGTACAAAGATAATCGTTCTGATTTCGGAATGTTACAATGGACCACATGTGAAAATTGCACATGCAGAACTGATCATATTAATTTACAACATGTGTGCATGTAATACCATTCAGATCTATGGATGTCTGCATCTGAGACATAATGAGGCAATTTACTACATTATTTTCTATGAGGCCATTCTCACATGCTAGTGACAGGAAGTACTGCCATCAATAATTGTATTTTTATCAACTAAGTCTAATAAGGATAACTGGTACCTAATAATTATTCTATGTTATCTTTATTATTATTTAAGGATAACTTGGGATAATGTTCTACTAGCCATGTGGTTTTCAGTGATGGCATTTGGTTTGCTCTGCATACTGATGGCTTTTGCAAACGTAAAGGTCTGCTAGTTAGTGCATAGAATATTCCATTGTTTCTTTTTGATGTCTCTTGTATTTTTAGTGAAAGTCTGGTGAATCTTGTCTTTAATAGCCAGGCATCCTGTATTATCCTCACTTGACATTGTTCGGAGACTAGATTTGTTATCATTCTCATCATAGGCTGTACATTTCTCAACAAGACAGTGTCTGCCCACACACATTTAGGGTTGCATATATTATGTCAATAATAGAAAAAAATATTATTGTTTAGGTATAAGTTGTAAAAAATTATTTTATTTGTGTGTCATAATAGTTTATTAAAGATACAAAGACAGAATTAGCATTGTGAAGTAGGTAATAGCCCATGATAATAAATTATATTATAAGAACATTTATCTTACCCACTGGAAATATGTAATATCATGCTTAAAAGGAAATCAATAAAAAAAAATTTCATGCTGCAGCTTTTTTTAAATTAAATTGGTATTACTGTAAATTCCTGATTAAATGTGTAAAATAATTGCATGTTGTAAATATACAACAGTGCATTTGAAATCAACATAAAGAAATGACATGATTATGATTTTTCATAAATAAGCTGCGAATAACTTTTTTTTTTCTTTTTGCCTGAAGAATATGGAATTTCCAAATGCACTATAGCAAGCTATTCTTATTTTCAGATAGATGATAAAATGATAAAAAATTATGCATTTTGAAATGTAATGGTCAACCAACAATATGGTTGCTACTTCTTCAGTTCTCCTCTATGGCTGTTTCCCCCCCCCCAAGTTTTTCTTTGAACTGATGCAATAGTGTTCATGATCACACATAAATGGAGGCAGATAGCTCTAGAGTGCTTTGCCATTATCAATGAAACCAAATAAAACTACATATATCAATTCATTTACAGAAACAACTTGCATGAAAAATATTTCTGAAATTTCTTCTAAAGTTCAAAGCTCAGACCATAATTTGCTGATGAACATTAGTGAAATATAAAGATTACTACACATCAGAAAATATGACAAAGCACTGCAACTTCTTGATTATTTCTGAAAATTTTGGTGGTGCATTTACTTGATTTTCCAATCAAATTTTGAAGTTTTTATGTTCTTTAAGCAAATTAATTTCCATCCAAGATATATGAAATGAATACATTGCCAAAATAATCTCATTAGAACCTGTAATTACACTTATTCATCAGGAGCCAAGAAGTGAATGTAGTGAGAGAAATCATATGTAATGTGCTTGTCGCTATTGCTCCCTCACTGCTCTTTCAGACTTGTTGTTTGACTAGTCTGACTTCAGCAATCATCACATGTGGAGACTCATTTGGTTAAATATTCATGCTAAGATCTGAGGGTTATCCGTACGTTTCCTCTAAATAAAGAAAAAATTTCCTATTACCTACTGAAAATTGTGATGCGATAGAAATATTCATTCTACTTAACCACGAGAAAGCATTGCAAATTGTTAATCTAGCCTAATCATGACTTTAATAATTGTATCAGTATAATAACATTATCACAAAACAGGTACTCTTCTGTTATCACGACTGGATTCAGAAATGTATGTAGGTATGTATGCATGTATGGATGTATATGTTAATGTATGCATGTATATATGCACATATGTATACTCCCGTATATGCATATACATACATACACACATGCATACATTTCTGAATCTGGTTCCAATAACAGAAGAGTGCCCCAAATTAGAAGCATACAATACATCACAAATTTCATGTTGTCATGACAAGTGTGCAAGATAAATTTGCAGCTAATAAAACTAAATTTACACTATTGCACAGGTTTACTAAAACATTGGTATTAACACATCTAGAATTATTGTTCAACTTCAACATATATAATCTAAATTTACAAATTTCATTAAATTTTGAAATTCTTTATATTTCCTTTTCTAGCATCTTTTTCTTTATTTAATAGTATATCAGATTACTACATGTTAACAAAATTTTAATATTGTCAATGCAAAGTGCAGCATGTTCATTTCTCTCCATATGTTTGCTCCATATATTCCATATGTTTGTTCCATATTTCTTAATATATCATTAAACCTATATAAATTTAATTTTGATATTACAAAACATATTTTTAAGCTAATTTTATAATAATAATCTAATGTTTATTTTTGTTTTATCTATTTCATATTTTTATTGCTTTATATTTGCAGTTTTTCCCCCTAGCTTTAACTAGTCTCTGACAATTTATTTCAATTTAGAAATAACATGAATTTTTCAAAATTTAAGCCTGTTGCTTGTAAAAGAAATTCAGTGTTGTGTCAGTACTTTTATCTGACCAGTCAAATTGAATATTTTTTATGGAATTCAAAGTCCCACATGGATATAAATTCACCTGTGACAAACTGATCATCTAAATGTACTAATGTTGGATGTACTCTTGTACTTCCACCTTCTTTGCTGATAACCTCAGCTGTTTAGGAGCTTTCTGAAAAGAGGAGTGTAATTTTTCATCCTCTTGTAACAATCATTGAAATGACTTCTGAATATAATGTATAATATTAGGTGCATCGATGATCAGCCGTTTAGATCTATTATGAACAAAACGGTATTGGTTTTATCAAATTGTCACACTAAACTTGATACTTGAACATTAGAAAACCTATGATTAAGCCCCTCGGTGAAACATTTAGTGAGAATTCATAATAAAATGTGGTTCTAACAGAGACTTAGTCGCACTGACTTTTTTTCCTTCATGCCTTTTATGATGTTCGTTATTTTTCACTGTAATGAATATGAGGTTCAGCAAAAGTCAGATGTGTTTGCTTGAAATAATAGTACTCACAAATGGTTTTCATTGTTAAAGTAAATAATATGTATGATGAGATAGAGAACTTACTTCTGAATCACACTGTGTGTGTCTTGATAGGGCAAACCAATGTGCTGGGGCCCTTAATATGATAACCACTAACAGAAAAGAAGTATGGATGATTAGCATAGAGCCATTATGCTTGTGAGGGCCCATGCTTTAAGCTGTCCCTGCTATGTGTGTGCTTGTATACCTGCATACTAATGTAATTAACTGCTGTTAATCAATTTATACTGTAACTTATTCATTTTCTTTCTTTAGCTTCAAATGTTTCTTCGTCAATATATATATATAACCATTACATGATAAAATCAAAAGTGTGACATGCATATATTTCCATGAATGGATTTTAGTTTTCTGCCTGTTGTTACTGGCCTAATATATCATTAAACCTAGATAAATTTAATTTTGATATTACAAAACATATTTTTAAGCTAATTTTATAATAATAATCTTTTATCTATATGTTATTGAAATTTAATGAGGTAATTATGTAATAATTTTTTACAGAGGAATTTAACAGAATATTTTAATGCTATTGATGCTCATAACATGATGGTTATTTTTGCAAGGTAACTTGCATTTTTAATTTTTGTTATTATGATATGTTATATTTTTAATATATATATTTGTATTTGTATATTATATAAATTTGTGTATGCATGTTATGTGTAATAAAATTTATATTGTATTATGTATCTATGTTTTATATTCTTATATAAGAACACAGCATTTAGTGATTTTTAAGAACATATATATTATTTTATTTATTTTTACCTTAAATTATTGGATTCCTTCATAGTTATTAATCCATTCTAATAAACAATTAAAAAAAAAGCAAAAACTTATAAAGAAATATATTTTATTCAGAAAAACTCAATAAATGATATCTAACATATTTTTAGGATGGTATGCCATGATGGCAAGAACTGGCATCATAGTGGTCTGAAAAATTGTGGCAAAATGTGTAAATATCTTTAGAAATCACATCTAATTAAACATATAGATTGAGAGAGGACCTTACTTTTTTTTGGACTGCTTCCTATTGGCATATGCTTCTTACAGAAGTGTATGATTGTAATTATTTTGTGCAACGTTCTTTCTTGCATAATTTGTTTAGCTGAGAGCTGTGTATCTCACTTGTATTGTTTGACACATGGCAGAAATTCATAATCAGTGCAACCTAGTTAGACCACCACACAGAGAGATAAGAACCTTATGTGGGTGCAAGATGGATTTGGATATTTGTTTCTGCGATTCCCTATTATTCAATGTCTACCTTTCAGAACATATACTTAGCAACTATAAAGATAGGATGCAAAAACGGAACACTAACCTCACCTTTTTTTAAGGAAGTGTATGTTTCCCAGATGTGTATCTGTTGTTATTCCATGAGTTCATGTGAAACCTGGTGTTCATTTTTTAAATCTTGGCTGTAACTTAAAGAAGTGAGGAAAATGTCAGTAATGATACAATATTTAAATTAATTTATTAATGATGTGATTATTTTCCCCCTTTTTGCCATAATTGTTCTATGTCATACACAACTGGATCTGAATGAGTGGCTGTGAGCTTACGGTTGATATTACTATCACTAGCATGGATCTTTGAAAGTAGGCTATGAATATTTTTGTCATTTGTGCTGACACTGGTAACTGTTTCAAATGCTTTAAGTCTGAATTTGTGCAAAACAGCTACCTTGTTATTGTTACTCATCCTCACTTGTCTGATGTATTCAGCCCAAGCCCACAAAATACCTACAACGAGCGCTAAATTACTGCTGGTTGCACCGTCATTCATACACTTTTCATACGTACTAACATCTGTAGATCGCGAAAAACCCACAAGTCGTGCAGTTTCGGAAATACTTGTTCCGAGCCTTTGAGCCATTACAATCTGCCTTTTATCAAAGTCGCTTAGTTCCGCAGCCTTTCCCATAACACACAGAAGTAAGTGAAAGAATGATTCTTCAGACTCTCCAGCAGCAGTTAAATACCACTTCCACCTGATCACGTGCCTTCCATGTCATCCAGGCGCGTTCATCGCAAAATGTAGGGCTGGTCATAATGTTTTGGCTCTTGAGTGTACATCATCATGATGCATAATGTAGAGAATCAGAACCACCTTGTTTCCTTTAGTTACATTACAGTCATTCTGAAACCCAAACAATGATGTTCCTACTTCCCGGTTCTTTGTATGTGTAAACTCTGGAGGAATTTCACTCTTATTCTTTCTCATAGTCCCAACCAAAGTAAGATTATTTTGAAGCAAAAAATCGCTATTGTCGAACCTCAAGCGTTTTTCAGACATTATTAGCTGGCATAACTTAATGCCCATTTTATCAGAGGACCATATCTCCTTGGTATTTGCATGATTGTCCTTTCTAGAAGCACAAATGTGTAATACGCCTAGAAGCGCTTTTATTTCAGTTATGTCGGGGTCAAATGGATATCCCTTTCCCGAGAATAATTTTCCTGTACTGTGTACATCTTTTCATTTGTGAACTTAACTATATTACATAGCATGCCATTGTCGAAAAATTATGCCCAACATTGCTCCGGCTTTCGAGCGTTTTTTGCAACACCTTTCACCCCTGGCAAATGAGTGATAATATTATGTCGCCGAGTGTGTATATTTTTAATTTTTAGGTGGACAAACTTTTGATCATTTTGATGATTTATTCCAGCCTGGGAAATAATTATCGGCAATATAATCATCACTATCGCTATCATTGGAGCTTTCCTTGCTCCGTGTCTGTGTTTTCTTTTCTTGTTTCCACTCTATCTTCTTCTGCATCACTATAATCATCAAACTCATCACCTGATTCATATTCTTCCATCAGCATACGTAGTACTGTTTCTCTGTCACGTTCATATGCCATATTGAATTTTTTCTGAGAAGTCATCTTTGTAAGAAAATAAATGATAAAAACAAATGTTACTCATAAAATTTATGAATACCAAAAGAAATGCATCCTTTTTCATTTAAAATTAAATATATTCACAAGCAATTTCTTTCTTCTGTCACTAAAATGGGAAAAAAAACTACTATGGACAGCTGTTGATAATATAAATTAAAAATACTAGAACATATAAATTTTAAAATACTTACCTTTAGAATCAGAAACGGTTGCATGGTATCTCCTAGACTCCAGCAGTGCGCATCGGCTTATAACCTCTTCCTCTCAGCACTAAAATGAAAATAGCATTGTTTCGATGATTTCTACTTATATATATATATAATTGACAGAAAGGTAGATGACAACATAAGCTTCCTCACACATCCGTTTATAAAGCAATTAAAAAAGAAGCATCCGGGGCGTCCGTGGGATGCCGCGCTAGCAGTGCAGCGTTAAAAAGATGTGTAGAATTAATATTATTATCTAAAAACTGTAATTTATTTTAAGTTAGGATATTTTTCATGTATGTAGAATATGTATGTGATGGTTATAGAAGAAAAGAGATACCTATTTTCTTAGATTAGTGTATTGTAGCAAAATATTGTCATTGCAATTTGAAGTACTTCCTTGGTAAAATAGCCACCATGCTAAGTTACCAAATCTGACAAACTTAATCACCCAATCTAAAATATGCAAATTTCAAATGTTGTCAAATGTTTTCAAATGTTGTCATATATGTTGTGGCCATTTCGATATGGAAGTATCCAATTTTATGTATCATACTAAATAAACTTCTTGAGATCTGAATTAATTAATTATAGTTAAATTAAAGGTTTGAAAAGCTGTTTTTGATACATTATAAATTCTGACTGAAGTGTAAAATTCAGGAATTAATTAAATAAATTATATGAAATATTTTGTTTTCATGCATAGAATATTTTAACCCTTTGACATGCGGTGGTCGCACCCTGAAACCACCAATTTTCGAATTTTTTCTCCTTTACTTTCTGAAAGTTTTGAATGAAAACCGATTTATTACTAATGTTTTACCCCTAGCTGACGCAAAATGACTGCAAAATCATAGATTTTTTAGGTCTTAGTTCTTCAAATCAGATACCTTTTAAAATTAGTTTTCAATAAAACAAAATAAATTTGTTTTATTAATATAAAAAACTTTAAATTTGAAAAGTGATTCATTGCCCATCATTATTTCTATTATAACCAATAAAAAATAGCAATAATTGAACTGCATATGTAAAAAACGTACTATATTTTATGGCATTTGTTGCTTTGTGGTTTCAGGGTGCGACCACTGAGCCACTAGAGCATTGTGTCACATTGCTCAAAGTCCTCTAGAGCAGGGGTTCTCAACCGGTGGTATGCGTACCACTGGTTGTACACAAGAGAAACGCAAAGAAGCAAAGTGTTTTTATCTGTTAAATTCAAAAATTAAAGCCCCAACATCCTGATTGAGTTTTCTCTCTAACACTCCTAAATTTCTGCGATCTGAGCTTTGTTCAAGAGTGGTGGTGGTAGTAGTACTTTGTAGTGGTGGTACTAAAGGTTTTCAGTTTTTGTTTAGATGGTACGGCGTTAGTCAAAAGGTTGAGAACTGCTGCACTGACTAGAGCATTGTGTGAGGCTCAGTGGTCGCGCCCTTGAAACCAACTGCTCTTCACAATGGTGTTTGCTGCTTTCAAATAGGAATGTGTATTTTTACCCGGATATAGATAAGGGACTCTGAAACCACAGAATTATTAAACAAACAATACATGCACCTGGCCAGTGAAAAGGTTTTCCATTTTCCAGAGATTTTTCTCTGACCTCAAACACGCTTTGTTTCCTATGCTAGTATTGTGATCTTTATAAATTATTTTGTATGGTTTAAATTTAATGTAAACATCCTTTTGGCTATAATTAAAAATAGAAATTCGCGTAAAAGTTTTATTTAAATAAAAATATTAAAAAAAATATTGTGGGACAAAATACAAATAAAATAAATACGAATGAGAAACGAAAGATCCGTACCAAAGCGAATAAAGAACCAAGCCCCTTCGCCCAATTAACATAAAAAAAACCACCAAACTTCATGTTAACTAGACGAAAAGAGACTAAATAATGCGGGGCATATACCAGTAAAAGGCAAATCCAGAAAGGGTACATTTTGTAGCACAAGGGAGAAACTTCATAGAACAAGATACATGTGCGAAACATGCAATGAGAGTCTATGCATGTACCAAAAAAAAAAAAAAAAAAAAAAAAAAAAAAAAAAATAAAAAATAAACATGCTTTGAACAATGTCACAAAAAATATTTGTTCTTTGATGTTTAAAAAAATGCCCTGAGTTTTTTTATCCTTACTTTACTGAGTTTTTTAATCCATTTATCCGAACGTCCTTACTATGTAGGTTTTTATTATGTATGTTTTCACTGCTATAAAAAAATTACATGAATGTTTATTTTTTAATCTTTTCTGACTATATGCTTTGTAAAATAATGTAAAAAATTGACATATAATGCAATTCTTACATACTTTTTTTTTAATTTGTGAATTTCGTCATTTATTTGAAATGCACATGGGAAAAGGTTAAGTTTTTTTTATCTTACTACCTCAGTAAGTTTCAAAGTCCCAGACGTGCACATGCTGGTTTCACAGTGCGACCACCACCCACAGATCAATGGGCAAGAATAGATTTTTTTTTACTTCATATATTATTTGTCTTTAGGATCATAATATTCAATTTCTAGAGTTTTTAGTTAAAAATTATAAAATGATATTGCACACGTCAAAGGGTTAAGAAAAAATAATTTGGGCTGATTTGCAATATTTGATAGGTGATATGTATAATGACATTGAAACATTGATAGTCTGTTAATCAGAACATATTGAAAAATACTTTATAACAGATTGTATTTCTGATATAAAATAGGAATTACATATAAGTGCAAGGTATTTGTATCTTCTTTAACATAGTTTATGTTTCTTGTAGTATGCTTCATGAACGTAGAATACTTGTAACTTCTAAGAAATTAAGTCGCTTAAGTGCTTGTGTTCAGGCTGCAAATACTCTTATATATCCAATGCATTGGTGAGTAAACCTTTTCTTTTGAACAATGTAGTAAACGAAGTTAATGCTTGAGTGTAATATATTAAATAAACTATTTAATCAATAAGAAGAATGTGACACAAATGCTTAAAAAAGTTTTATATTTCAAATAATTATATAATTTAATATTAGCCTTACTTTTGTGTTATTTTTGTTTTAGTTATAGAATCATTTTTATGGAGGAATACTGATTCATATTTTAAGATCATTACATTCATCTAGTTCTTCACAGTTTCATTTTTTTTAATCTAAGGTATTTTAAAGACATTATAAAATAATATAATGACTTAATTCAAGCTGATTTGCAAAGATGCACAAGATCACTTGATAATGCTTATATACACTGCTGGCCATTAAAATTGCAACACCAGGAAGGAATCATCTGACGAACGTCAAGATCACGTGAAAGGAAGAAGAGGTTGGGATATGCAAATGATTTGTATTTAAGTGTGTTTGGATGACGGAGGGGGAAGAAATGTCATCTCAAGAACTGCATAAAAGGAAAGTTGTGTAATGGATTTTTCATTCAGAAAGCACTTTGTAAGTTCGGAGTTTGCTCAGAATATCATGTTATGCCTCGAATAATAATAAGAAATGTATAGATGTCTGGAGGCTCCGAGCAGACTGAATGTCTTCTGCTTGTATTTGATATCGGCATACGGACCCTGAACCTGGTGTGATAGTTTGGGCAGCCATTGCGTACACGATACACACATCTCTAGTTGGATCAACGCTAATTTTGAAAGCAGATCAATACCTTTCTGACATCTTATGTCCAGTAGTTGTGCCCCATCTTCCAACAAGATAATGCAAGACCACATGCTGAACATCATGTTCTGACATTCCCCAATGATCAAGATATTCGATTGCTGCCTTTGCCTGATAAGTCTCCAGATTGAAAACGTCTGGTCATGGGTTGCTGAGAGACTGGCCTGCCATCCCTTTCCAGCTGACTCGGTCAACGAAATGTGCTATAAACTTGCAGCAGCATGGAATGAGTTGTGCGTTTCTGTCATCAAACACCAGTTCAATTCCATGCCTTAACAGGGTAAGGGGCCGTTTTAGCTGCTAGGGGTGGTAGCTGTTTCTACTGATTTTGCATCCTTGTAAACCCCAAAACTGTTTAAAAGTTTAATCATTTTGTCTCCATGCCATGCTGTTTACATACAATAAATATCTTTTTTGTATTTTCTTTCCTTCATGGTGTTGCAATTTTAATGGCCAGCAGTGTATATAGCATACTGAGTTCATGAAGCACATCATCATACATTTTATGAAATCAAAGATAACAAAACAAAATGATGTGCACTTTCGCGATTATTTTGCCTCTAATTATAGCAAATAATTTCTAATCAAAATATGCTTTATTTTACAATATGTTAGCATATCAGAAATATTTTATTTATAGGTAAGGAGTTGAATTAATGTAAGCTTTGTAAAGCAAAAACAGTTAAGTTAATATTGTATCAGATATGTTCAAATTTCTTAAAGTACTAACAGAACTTGCATTTCGATTTCCTTATAAGACATTAATGTTTATTGAGAGAATAATAACCTATATTGGCTCATTTTTCACGAGATTTTAATCTCAAAATTTCCTGGTTTTTATGCTACATATCCAAGAATAAGAGGGGTTTTGTTTCTCTTTTGAAGAATATCATTGGGCTGTAAAAGTATCAGTCTACCTGAAATTGTTACTTGTTCATTTTGGTCCATTTGGTTGCAGATTTTAATAAAATAAAGCTTTGCATACACCAATAACTTGCCTTAAAATGAATAATTAGTCCTGAATTGCAGATCTGTCGGTATCTGATCACTGGCATAAATGCATTACTAATGATATTCCAAAATTTAAAATCTTTATGAAGCAAAATTCGCCTTCAAAATATTAATGATGGCGGGGGGGGGGGATATTCTTTCTTAACTCTGGCAGTGGTCGTATCCTGCTGCTGCCAGAATTATATATAATAATATGATTTTTTAATTTTGATTTGTTTGCTTAAATGCAAAGTAATTTATTTAAATAATAGTCATAATCTGAATTCACTTCTTACTATTTCTATCTACATGTACCATTTTTAACACTCTTTCCCACCTCTCTTATGATAAACTTAAGCATACCTAAAGGGTCAATTCCAGTGAACATGCTTTTTGATTAAAAACTTCACAATAGCAAACTGGAATTTGAACTACAAATTAAGATTAAATTAATATTTTTGGCTTATCTTTTTATGTATGCATGTAATTAACACATAATACAGTCAAAAGTCTTTAATCCGGACGTCCATAATCCGGAATGATCTATAATCCGGACTTCAAATCTACAAACTAATGCGTTTACGCACGCGCATAATACCTTTACGCATGCGCGTTTAATGTATAACGGACGGTATAAGCTAAGCTAAAATAATCTATTTCAGTTAATGTTGCAGATTGTGTTGTTCCTTAATCTTCTAATTGGATACGGCTTATTATTTTCTTTTAGACTATTAGAGCAATTTAATAAAAGTAAGTTGGAACTTTCGATTATGTCAAAAACAATTTCCGATACTGGAGCTGCCAAAGGATCTACAAAGGGAAAGCATGTTTCGATGTCCATCAAACAAAAAGTGGAATTGCTGCAAAAAATGGATAAAGGCATATCCTTTGTTTCTCTAACCATTCCAAAATCTGTTTATCAATTTCAAGCTGCTCTGCGGGGGGGGGACGTGCGCAATGAACTGGAAGTTGATCTGTCAGCACTATCCTCATCTTCATGGCAGATGTTTTTATTTTAATCGGCTTATAATTCCTTACTAAATGTAGTATTTCATCTCGATTTGCTCCCTCTTTGATATGATTTAAATCAAATTCCTCGTCATTATAAATATCACGAATACACATCAAATAGTTTTCTGGTTGCAATTTTCTAATTTCGACTATGTGTAATGTATGCTTTACGCATGTGCACGGTTGAAAGAAATGTTTAATAAAGTAAACAAATAAATATTAAGTTTTTTTTTTTTTTTTTTTGTAAATTTTGATACCCTTTAGATCATAATTGCTCTTTATTTCATAAATTACGGTTTCATATTTTTAATTTTATAATTTCTGCATGCCATCTTCCGATGATCCGGAATCTCCGAAGTCCGGATAAGGACTTTTGACTGTAATTATATAATAATTTTATATTCTTATATTGGTTTTATAGATGTCTAAATTTAAATTCCTCATCAGTTAACAAATTTGTATAAATATGCTATTTTTTGATTGCATCAGGGAGTTAGCTTCATGTTTAAAAATTATTACTTATTCATTTAAATACCAATTTGTATCCCAGAAGGCCTATTAGTTTTGCTTTGCCCACCAAATGTTAGAGCCTTGCATAATATTTAAAGAAATTAAAAAATGACGAATCTGCATAAATGTATGTATGTTTCTCTCATTGTGATGAAACAATGGTACTTAGAGCCATTAAAATTTGAATAACATAATCCTTCACCCAAATATGGGAAAGCCCTGATCTGGAATTTGTTTTATTATCTATTTCATATTTTGTAAAACTTAACAAATTATTGATTAACAAACTCTGTGATTTCAAAGCGAGCAGTGGCAACACTGTATGGGGGGGGAAATTATCTCCTGCATGCAAGACTGTGTATCAGAAATTCCAAATACGCTCTTTTTAAATTATTTTGCGATATTGCTGTTGAATTAAATTTTAAGGCTTAAATGCAAATAAGATGATATTTAATAAATAAAGGTAACTCACAAAACGTTAAAAAAAGGCCCCTTTGGGTGTAATATTTTTTTGGTTTTATATATTAATTTTTTGAAACTAAAATAATTTATTAAAACATACGAAGGAGATGAAATGTAACCATACCTGAATTAATGCAAATTGTTTGAGAGAGGGATGATTCTCCTTGGTAAATCCCTCTTCTAGGAAACCAACAATGATTTACTCACTTTTTGATGTATGGACAGTTCTACCTCATTTTTATGTATGTACTATTCTTTTTCTTTTTTAAATTTTACATTTTTGATGCATACCATTACAAATTCTAAACTTCTTTTAATTTTATAACAATTTTGTAATTACTTTAACACAATCCTCTTAAAAAATACCATTTCCTTAAAATTTTTAATTGTTTTAACCCAGTCTTTTTAAGGATTAACGATTCCTAATTTCAGTTTACAGTAGTTTTTATGCTTTCTTTCCTAGGAGATAATTGTAAATAGAAAATTAATAATGAAATATATAATATATATATATATATATATATATATGAGAGAAATTTACATATATAGGAGAGAAATTATAGTATATAGTTTAATATGAACATTAGAGATCAGTGCAGAGACTTGCTGTATCAGCAATGATTAAGTTGTTAATAATTTGTTTGGTATTAATTACTTTATGCTTCATGTTAATGATTAAACCTTTTAAATTTTTACAGGCAACACATTTTTATTCCAATGCTTCCTAAGCATTTGATTGACTATTTAAGGTAATTATTGATTATATTTTTACCTTACAAAATTTTGTAAAGTATACTAGCATAAATTAAGCGCAGAAGTAAAATTGTTATTATTGGAATTGCTTTTATGAGTTTCTAGGCTGAGTAAAATTAAATTTATTGACACCTTTTTTCTAAAATATTTTTTTTTTTTTTTTTGTTATTTAAGTAATGTAAAAATATAAGATACTTTCTCATTAAAGCAGTAACCTTCGTCAGTCACCAAAATCAGGAGATGATTAGTCCTGGAAATCAGCAAATTTAAGTACCTAATTTTTAATCTGATACAAATTTGATTTTCACTTGTTTTGATTGCAGTACTGTCAATGTGATGTCATTGATTCAGTACTTCCTTTTCTCTGTAAAATATTTACAGTATTAAATTTAAAACTAATTATTAAAGAAGCAATTCTTTTTCTTTGATGTTTTTAATGTACAGCACATTTGATCTTCACACTCAATTTAGACCACATGATACCTTCTTCAGTTAATTTTTTTTTCTTTGAAATGTTACCTGTTTTTTAACTTTCCATCAGTTAGAAAATAAGCAGTAGTTTCTCGTTGCAGTAATGTTCAGTTTTCATATTATTTTCCTCATTGAACTGGTAACCATATTTAGCATGTCATCAACTGAAAAAAAAAGCAATTTTTCTCTTCCATAAGAGCACTGAATTTTGCATACTGAGCAAAAGTGGGAAAATGGTCACCAAATGAAACTATTTATCATTTGGATAAAAAATTTCAGGAGAGGAAAAAAAAGTTTCTGTGCTGATAACTGGTTTCATACTTTCAGGATTTCTTATGTTATTCCTTTGTGCTTCATATTGTTGGGGTGAATAATTAACATCTATTAACAGACATTTAAATATGCTGAAAACATAGAGATTACTTGTAAGAAATATAAGAGCAAAGCTTGTAGCTTGTTGTAGGGTTCCTCACTCTTATTCTACTAAATGAACATTGAGGAACCTAGTGAAGTGTTAAGTGGCTTGTTGTCAAGTTCAAATAACTAAAGACATAGACTCAAGAAGAGTTACCTACCCTTTATTTTTCACTCAAAATAAGATGAACAGTTGGCCCCTTTCTCGGGTTTACAACAAAGCCTCCACTCGGGCTTAAACTCGAAATAAGAACTAAACTATAATTAACTAAGAGAGACTTAGCCGAAGCTAAAACACAAGATTTAATATAGTTGACCCTTAATTTAAACTAGCCGGTGTATATCAAAAGGCACCTAACATACAGCTGAGCGTAACAGCTTTGAGAGAGATTTAGCCTAAAGGCAAACATGCACTACTCAGGATTCCTAGCTCTCTTTCATGAACCTTCCTTAAATACTCCTTCTAACTCATTTGCATTCATGATTCTTGGAGACAAGAACTGATAGGAAAGCACTTGAAATTAAAATAACTGTTATAAAATTAAAATATACCTTACATTGTTTTTGATCAAAATCTCAAAGTAAAATTGGTGGTACTGAAAAAATTGTCACCATTGATGTCCACTTGTCAAGTAAAAAGATAGTATAGGCAGAATTTTTCCCAAACTATGGGATCTTGGAAGAATCTGCAAGGAGTAATGTGCAAATAGCAGATAAAATACTAAATCTTTAATGGTGATGATTAAACGAAAAAAAAAAAGAAAAAAAAAAGTACATAGAGGAAGTACAATGTATTTGGATTGCTGTGATTCCTTTAATCTAATCATCATTGTTTGGGTTCCTATTTAAGAGTATTTATATGGCAGGCAATATGTAAAGAGGGAGCAATTATTTTATTATATAACAGCAAGAATTGCCAAATTTATACCTCCACAAATGTCAGTAAATTTTATTCCTGCTTCCCACATATTGTGGGTTTTAATTTTTTTTGAAGCTTGCCATATGTTTTCTAATTCTGCCAAATTAATTTTAAATGCTGCCAAATTTTGCCAAAGTGAATGCCATATCTGCTTTAATAAGGAAATTAAAAAAAAATAGTGCAGTACAAATATTTTTAAGAAGTTTCATCATCTTTTGGCCAGGGTGAGGAATGGCCTTCTTTAGAACTCTCTTCCACTTTGTTTTCCATTTGGGCAGTTTTTCAGTTTGTAATTTTATAATTTTAATAATGTTAAACATCAAAGCCCAATTCTTCGTTTGACTATTTTCGTATTGGTTTTTATTTAAAAATTTTAAATATTAATTAGGAAGAATTCATTTGGCAAACATGTTAGCAGATTTCATGCAATTTATTGTATTTTGTAGTATTACTTTTGTTACATAATTTATATAATTCATTGTTATATCTATGTCACCAAAAGCCTTCAGTGTTTACAATATCAAATCTTTTTCTTGAGACTTTCAAAAATAACTACATGGTTTTCTATGCTAGTGTTAAGATCCAGGCTTTTAAGAAGCTAGTTAATTTAGATGTCACTTTTAAGACATATATAAATTTCCCCATATTTTTAACCATATATTTAGCATCTGAGAAAACAGTTTTATATTGCGTAAAGGCTGTATGAGCAACATTGAAACAGGACCATGTACTTAAGTTTAAGGCTTACATAGTTAAAAATTGCTTTGAAATGGAAATGAGTTGCACACATAGGAAAATATATGCAATTTCATTCTTTAACTTTGTCAGAATTAGTTTTTTCATTGTTTTATAAAATAAGAGAACTGATTTTTCTTTTTTAAGTGAATTTTTTGGAGGGAAGTAAAGATTTTTCTTAAGCTTCTTTTTTTTTTTTTTTCTTTTTAAATAATAAAAGGTCTTCACTTCAATACCTACGTATTTTGCATACTGATGAATAGAAGCTGTATTATTCAAATTTTTCGAACATCCGAATAAGCAAACATCACACTTAGTTTATTTAATTACAATTCTGTTGTGCTATAATTTTTTAAGGATAAAACTTCATAGGATCGCAGCAAAATATAGTAATACTATGTTTAGTTTTTTAAATTGTGATAGTTTTGGGCTTTTTTTTTATCATTTGAATGCTTTTTGTTAAAAAATTATGTTTATCCATAAAAACAGTTTATGTGAAAACAGTCTTTATTCTATCATGAGATCTACCATGTGTCAAACAACTGAAAAATACATTTTTTTCTGTGTTTCATGATGCAATGATGAAAGAATAAAAAGTATCAAAATTCTGGAATAACATTAAGAAATAATGACGGACAAACCCCTGACAATAAAAGTTTGCAGCCTTATTCTTTGTTCTGAGTATAAAAAGTTTTGCAGGACAAAGAAATGCTATAATAATTTTATATTTTTACACAGATAACAGTTTAAATGGCTTATGAGTAATTAAACTGCAGCACAACTAAACATTTATTTAGACAATCTATGATGAAAAGTATTTATAGTAGTTATAAGGAAAATCAGGGGAATTATGATGTATTTCATTTTAACTTTTTGACTAGCATGCAAGGGGTTCTCAGTTTTAACACATAGTTAAGTTTTAACATATTCTCAATGAACAAAATGTTGCATGTGTGTTTTCGACAAGTGGCTGTTCAGTCAATAAGTCTGAGACTTAACTCTCATAGCTACATATAATTGGTTATCCATCTTTTTTGATGTTTCCGTGGCTATACATGTTTCTTCTCATTTGTGTTGCATTTCTTGTTTCTTTTTTCCTTGCCTTGGGCTAAAGACAGATATTTGCACATACACCTTGAAAAAGAGAGGTAGATGGAACTTATTGTGCCATTATAAGTACATATCTTGTATCTTTCATATGTCAAAATGAATCAGGAACATTGGAGTAAATCCCTGATAAACTGGAATTATATATAGAACTAGAAGCTCTAGTAAGCTGGAAGGCAAGGGGACATCTTTTGATAAACAGCTGATATCAAGCCAAAAAGACAGCTCTTGATCAACAACTGATAAACAGCTAAACAACATAACAATCATGTCATTGATATACAGTGTTCTTCTAATGCTGGTAGAATTCAATATTGTGCAATTCAAGGTAATAATACTGCATGATGACTTTTGAAATTTTGAAATCCTGTCACACTCTTTCTCTTCAAATTAGACTGAGTCAGTAAATGATATGAAGCCTTTTCATAACTTTTGGTGAATGAATGTATAAGGAAGACATAGTTTTTGTGCTATAATTTGTGTGATTCTAGAGGCTAATGAAGGCCCACCAACGGCCGAGCTGTAAAAACGCGGAACGCTGGTAGTTCGGTCCGAGGTTCGAATCCCACGAACGGGCTGGCTGCATGGGTGTTTTCATGGTTTTCCCCATGTTTAACGTATACGAGCCATTTTCCCTTAGAAAGTCCTCCACGAAGGCATCCCTCCCAATAGACAGATAGCCCTAGTGTGCTTTGCCATAATTAAATACACACACACCAGATGCTAATGAAATTACAACATAAATGGATGATTCTGAATCATAATCCGTAGACTTCTCTACTGCATGGTATCTTTTCTTGCCTTTAAATGGTAATTTTGTTTATGTCAGTGTTTCGTAAGGGTGTACGACATGTTAAACCCCTATAACAAAAGGTTAAGTTAGATTCTGACCCTTATTATGTTTAACAATATTGCATACAGTGCCATTTCCTCTCTGGTGGTGACTTTTTGGACTTTTTCCCCTCGGCAAATAAATTCCCATGACCTCCTTTACACGATTACCAAGTTTGATAATATTTGGTGCGGTAATTTTCGTTTTATGACCATTTGAAAGTTGAACTTTAAATATAACCACCCTGTAGTTTAAGATCTTTAATAATGGGATTTGGTCAGTTTGCGCTGGCCTGGCAAAACCAATTCATAAAATATTTTTAGTTAAGAAAATTTGTTGTTTATTAATAGCTAGTACTAAAATTTAGGGCTGCTTTTTATGTTTTAAAGGTCCAGTCTAATTCTTGATTCTGAAATTAAAACCATAGTTCTGTTATTAATGATTTGTAGGTTATTAATTTTAAATATGCTGGTGTCTTCTTATAACCTTATATTTTCTGGCAAAATGTTCATAAGCAAAGTTAAGATTGTTTACATTATATGTATTATGCTTCCTCTTTTATATCAAGGTAAAATGCAGTATAATAAAATAATTACTGAATACATTCGGATATTTAATATGTCTCATATTTTTTGCTGTTTAAATTTATAATTTGCAAAAAAGTATGAGCAACTGATTTTTCTGTTTAGTTAATTAACCTTAAGCAATTAAAGCCTTTGATAGCTTATTTAAATCAAATGTAACAAAACTGTAAATACATAAAATTAGCAAAGCAACAACCCTGTGCTTGAAATAAATTTCAGTCAAGACTGTATTGATTTTGAGGGCAAACAGACACAGGCTCTTCTTCATTGGAAGCAGAGAAAACTACCAGATTTCTTGAGTTGTTTATCCTGTGCCTGTTATTAGATGCCTGTGCTTATACTGCAGTTGAATAGTCAGGGCTGAAATTACGCCAAGCACAGGGTTATTTTGGAAATTTTATGTTTTATTTTGGTGTGTTTCTTTTCTGTCTTGTAAATGCTTTTAAGTAATTGACTATTTTCAAATTAGATTAGATTTTCTATATTCAGTTGTAAAATTCTGCTATTCTTAATGATGTTTTCATATTTTTTCGTAAATTGTATTATTGTTATAAAAAAGTGCTAGTGATTATTTTCATGTTAACTGAAATTTAAGAGCTAATCACTCAATATGTTAATTTTCAGATTTCTGTATTCTCTATTTTTATGCCGTGTATGTTTGATTGTGATGCTTTGAATCGGAAATTATATAAATTTGTACTCTTCTTTTTTTTTTTTTCAATTTCTTTTCAGTGCACCGATGCCTTTCTTGATAGGGGTTCCTTCCGTAACAATGATGGTACTATTATTTTTGGTAAACCTTATGTCTGGATATTTATCTAATTAGAAATTTAAGTTGATAAGAATTATTTTTAAAAAAGTTTTATTAGCATGGGCAAAATGTGTGGAGCAGACCTTCATTTGTTAATTCATTGTAAGATATCAAATGTAAAAGGGATAAAATAAAAAAAAGGTTTTTTCCAATAAATAATATTTTATAAAATTCTCAAACCTTGTATTTTGGTATTAAACCTTAAATCAACATTTTAATGTTTTGTTGCATTGCAGCTGCACATTATAATAATAAAATTTTTTGAAGATGATGTAAAAAAGGTAACTTACAATAAAGTGTTTGTAGTTAACTGAAATGTTACAATTATTCTGTATGTATAATCTTGTCTGTAAAATTGATTATTGATTCATTTTCCTGTTAGAATGTTTAGCTTCAGCTTTTAAATTATTTAAATTTAATTTCTTTCTCTCTGGTTGGTATGCTGGTTAATAGAGGCAATTCCCATATGAATAGACCAAAGATTAAATCCTGAGTAATGTTTGAACTGTATCGTATATTAAATAGGGACACATAAAATCTCTCAATCTTAAAAAGTATTTTTTGATAGGTTGCTGGAAAAAGAAAGAGAAGCATGACTCTTGGGTACTATTCCTACAGATGTTTTGATCTAAATGGGATGATATGGGATTTATGTGACTAGTGCCGATTCTGAAAGTCTTAAAGATAAATCAGTCTTTCTTTGTTCCATTTGTTAATATGAATGATTTTTGTAGTAACCAAGACTTAGTAACTTTTATAGTTTCTCCTAAAGGAATAATTTCGAACGAATTGTTATTGTTGTTTGTTGTCATTAAAGCACTAAGACGACCCCATAAATAATCATTGGCAGGACAAACGGTGCACTTGTAGTTTGGGCACAGATCTTAAGCATCTGTGATGACAGAATGGCTTTTCCGAACTTTATACCAATTTGAATTGGGAATGCCTGCTTGGATGGGATCTAACAATATCATATCTTTCTTCTCTTATTACTAATATTTTGAAAGGGCTTTGCAACTGACAGATTTTAAGTGCCACCATTCTGCAAAGACACTATGCAGTCACGGAGGCTTGTACCGTATCCATGATTTGAACTCCAAATACCTATTGGTATAGAAGTGGCTTTCTGCTGTCTGTCATGCCATCTGTTACAATGAATAAATTCCGTGCAGTGCGGCACATAAGAGAACACTAAGCCAGAAAATTAAAAATACAAGAGCACATGCATTTAACATTTAATAAACAAATATCTCTTTTTGATTTTGAGAAATTGCTAGAACATTCTCAAGCATTTAAAAAGATTATATAAGTGGCATGAAAACCTCTCAGTTTGTTAGTTGTTGTTTGATGAGTTTTGTTTAGAAAACTGCTGTTGTTGACTGACGTGAATTCACGGTGAAATTGGACTAGCTTTCTCAATTTTGAATTAGTTCTATTGAATGTTTTTAGTAGTTTAAAAGATAACTACTGTGAGATATAGGGATATTGTACAAATATCTGAGGAAATTTAAGCATTTTGTTTTATTTGTTGTGATAATAATAAATTGTATTCATTTTTCATTGGACTTGTGCATTCAATTCATAACGAACCCGAACACACGCAATAATATATATATATATAGTATATATTCTAGAAAATTAAATTTTTAAAATTCACATAGAGAAATGTGCATTTAGACTAATGTTGGAATATTAATAATTTTTGATATATTTGAAAAGCAGGAAAATATATATATAACATAAAAATATTTAAGGTTTTTAATTAGGTTATATCATGAATTGTGTGCATTTTTAATTAAATCAGTTGGGTTAAACATTAAATAAAATAATAATATTAAGAATTTCATCTATTTTTAAAATTGTTTATTAATCAATAACTGATAGATTAAATTTGAAGGATTTACATTTACATCTTACGTTTTGCTGAATGGCAACAGACTCGAATGAAGAGTGAAGTAATGCAAAATCCTATTTTGATCCCTTTCTAATAGCCCTTTTGGGCACTAGAAGAAACACTGGCATTTAGAATGTATTAGAAAATGTTTATTCAATTCAATTTCTGGCAGATAAGTTAATGCTTTTTTAAAAAGTTTTATGAATTGTTAGTTAAAATTCTTTCTGTATGTAATCTGTGTTAATTAAAATATTATAGAATAGACTGTTTGTGTTCAGGATTGTAACATAATAAATTGATGCATTGTGAATTCTGGAATTATTTTATTATTTTTATTAAATTACACAATTATTCATGTTGTTGCTTTTTTGATTTCTAATGTTTTATGTGTTTCTTTAGTCTCTGTATACATATATAAAAATTATTTTTATTAAAAGTTTGACTTCTGTGAGACTAAAATAAGCCAATATATTTAGTTTTAAAGTTGAACTTAATATTTAATGTCTGTACACAAATTGAAGAGCAAAATGTTTGTGTACTTAACTTGAAATAATATATCAGTCCAGGAAAAGATTATTGTTGTTACAGATTAAGTGACAAGGATTTTTTGTGCAAATTACCATCAATATATTTTTTCAAACAATATATCCTATTCACGGAATCTTACGAAATTCTTGTTCTAGAAAACACTGACATACTTCAATATTGCCATAATCATAAAATTAAATTATTTCTAATTTAATGAATTTTTCTGTATGATTTTTAGATTAAAAATTTAAAGTAATAAAGCTGCATGAGAATATTAATAACATATTTCTAGCATTTCAAAATTTATTAGTTATTAGTGTGAAAATTCTTTTGGCATACCTGTAGTAAAAAAATTATTAATTAAAGAACATTATGCATTAGTAAATTACAAAGTAATAGCGCTGAATGGCATTTAAAGAAAAAAAAATCAACTTTGAGTTATTCTAATTTATTTATTAACTGAAAAAAAAAATCAAATTTGAGTTATTCTAATTTATTTAGAAATTTGGGGACTCAGAGCAGGGAAATGTATAAAAAGTTAGATGCAACAGGAAATGTTGCATCATTTGAAATATTTCTGTATTTAGAAGTCTGTGATCAGTGGTTGTGAAATTAAAGGTCAGGTAAGGATTTCTGTGGATGTGGTGTATTATCTTTTAGTTTATCTAATGACAGCACTGAAAGATTTAAGAAAAAAAGTTCTTCATGATTTAAATCTGAAAATACAGTTTGATATGTTTTAGAAAGATCTCTCATTATTTAAATTCCTGTACTAAATGTAATTTTTCTATCGTGCCTGTGTTTGAACTTTATTTTTTATGTTAAGTATTAGATTGATAATGGAATTATGGAAATAATTCTGAAATAAATGTTGGGTGATGTTTTATAGAATTTGGCAATAACTTTAGTTACTCCTGCTCTTTACTTATTCCACTGGAAGTTTTATGTATTCTATTAGACACTTACAATATTGTTGAAATTAAACTTTATACTGAAAAATTAATGCCTTATTCTGTAAAATTTACAGAAATTTTATTTACAATCTGCAGTATTATTTTTTTTTAGAATTGCTTGGGTGACAAACATTCTTATTCCAAAAATATGCCAAGGATCAACCTTAACTATATTTAGTACTCTTTTTTTTTTTTTTTTTTTTTTTTTTAAGTCATCTGAAGTTTATTCATTTCAAAATCTTATTGTAAAATGAATATGTAGTATTGTATTATTGAACCTCTTAAAATTTTTAAAGAGATCTCATTCTGCCTAATTCTGAAATTTTTAACATTCTTTTTAACAGCAATTCAGACAGAGTGAACTGAGCGAAGTAGTGATGTTAGATGCTGACAATAATCGTGTGAGGACTCCATTCAAAGACTTAGAAACTTTGCCACCAGAAATAGTAAGTATTTTTTATTTTTATTTCATAATTTCATATAAATCAAGAAGATATAGCATTTTTGTGGTTTTTCATTCTTAGTACTATATTTATACACACACTGGCCAATGAATGAGAAACCTTTGAGATTTTCATTTGAATGCATGCTAGAGATGAAGCATGCAGATTTTTTCATATTACGTGGGTTACATGTAGTTAGAATGTTAGTGTAAGTAAGGTGTAAGAGTTCTTTTCACGATGAATGAATTAAAATTGGAAAAACAACAGATCTTTCACCATTTGAAAAAGGGCTTATTGTTGCTGCGCATTTAGGAGGGACCTCGTTTTCGAAGACAGCAAATCTCACCGGGTTCTCAAAAACAGCCATATCAAAGGTTTTCAAAAGTTGAAATCAGAACCCACAGTCATTCTCTAGATGATGTAACGGCGAATCAAGCACAGTTTTCCAAGAAAGTGATCAACAGTGTCACCAACGAATTGTATGACAGAAAAGGGACTCTACTGCACTTCAACTGACACAGTTCATCAACCAAGGCTCTTCCCAACAGATTTCAGCTTGAACCATGCGCAGAGAATTGCAGAGGATAGGAATGCATAGTAGGGTGCCTGTGAGAAAAACCACTCGTTTCTGTCCAACTTGTAAGAATTCGTTTGCAGTGGTGTCGGGAAGGAAGATGCTGGGCATCTGAGGATTGGAAATGGGTAATTAATGTGGTCGCATGAGTCACATTACACTTTATTTTGCACTGATGGAAAACATTGAATTTGACAAGAATCCCATGAAGCCATGAATCCATCTTGCCTTACTCATACTGGGCAAGGTTCTGATGGAAGTATCATGATATGGAGCATGTTCTACTGGCATGGAAGTGGAGCCCTGGTGTTCCTTGGGGGTAAACAAACAGCCATGAGATACCTAGATATACTGACAGATCAATTTCACCCTGCAGTGTTGCAGTTTTACCCTTATGGCCTCGGATACTTTGTATACTGACAGATCAATTGCACCCTGCAGTGTTGCAGTTTTACCTTTATGGCCTCGGATACTTTGTGAACGATATTGCAAATGTACATCCTGTCAGAAGTGTTTAAAATTGGTTCGCTGAATCCCAGTCTGACTTCCAACACCTTCCCTGGCCACCACATTGCCCGGATCTTAACCCCATAAAAAATGTGTGGGATATTGTGGAAAGACGCATCCGGCAGTACTCTCCTCTTCCATCTAATTTACAAGATCTAAAAAACTGCATAAGCAATGCATGGTATTCTCTGGACACAGAAGCATGTAGCCTCAATGCCCAAATGAATCAGAGCAGTTAGTTATTTGTGCAAAAGATGGTCCAATAAAATATTGATCATGGGTTTCTAATTCATTGGTCAGTGTGTGTATTAGTATTTATTTTAGTAGTATTAATATTTATATTCAAATAATATATATTATATTTATTATTTAAACAAAAAGTTTGCGATGTTATGATAAATTCAAGCATCTCTACAGAATGTTGAGTAGGGAGGCTTTGGTATGATATGTTAAAATTAATGAATAAACAAAAATTCAACCTCAAAGTATGTCACAATGAGAAAGTGCTTCTTATATACTAACATTTATAATTTGAAATCCATTAAATGTAGGACCATTTAAAATATTGCCCTTTTTAGTCTTAATTTTCAAGGAAAATAAGTGCGATATTGCATCAGCATTTGACACATTTGAAAGTAAGCATTTAATGTTTTTTTTATTGATACCAAATTATATATACTTTTAATTTCAATTGGAGGTTTGGTTGCTGACAGCTGATATGCTTTCATGAATTTCAAAGTTTGCATGCCGTAACGAGATTGCTATCGACATCCTCAACCTGGTATATTAAATCTGTGTGCTGCTTTGATATAAAATTATCTGTGCTAATGTAGTATCTTCAGGAAGAAAGTGAAGTTACTCGGGCAGTAGCAGATTAGTTTATATGAGACATTATATAGTACTGTCTGGACTCCGATTAACTCTTACTATATGAGTTTCTTGAACTTTGAACCAAACTTGATATCAATTTTGTAAAGGCTGAGCAATTTGAGAATGCATTCATTAATTTTAATAATCCTCACAGTGTGATATAACTTATCAGGAAACTTTTTTATTAATGGGAACAGATTGAGAAATATATACATATGTGCATAATCAGTAATTTTTTGCTTTATTGCCAAATATTTCTTGATTTTTTTCCAAAACATTTCATGATTTTAGTAAAGAGGGGAATATTTCTTCCCAAAGTATAGTCATAACAAATGCTTGCATATCCGATTTGATTTCTCCCAGCATCATTTTTATGCATGTCATTTGAACTTCTTACAGTATTAAACTGTGTGCAACAATCTCTTTCTGTTAGATACATTGTAAGGAAGAGAAGGGAAAAATCATGTCTTTTATGTTTTAAAAAGTATGTTAGTGTGAGTGTGATTATGGTTATAGCAAATGTTATTGCAACTGCAATTATCCTTGTAGTTAGCTTTAAAATCCTTGTGAGGAATTCTGGAATGAAATAAAACAATTACTTTTTTTTGATAGTGTATTGTCAAATTAGATGTAACTAACCACATGCAGTTTTCTGATAATTAAACAGAATTTTTAATTTTGCAGTTACAATTAAAGCTATTTAGTTTTAATTGTCCATTTGAAATTTAGTGTTTAGTGTTTTAGTGTCCATTTGAAATTTTACTTTTTACTCAATTTTACTTTTTATTTAAATCAGCTGATGCTTATTTTGTAATTTTTCAGGTATCTTCATTGAAAAGAAATCTTAAGAATCCAAATTTGATGTTGGGAGATGGTGTTTCAAGAGCTTTTATGAGAGCGTTAGTTCAGCTGATTGGTGGCTATCGAGATTCTTTAAAATTTACACTAGGGGAAAAAATCAGTTTTGATGCAGATGCTTTTATACAGACTCGACCAGCCTCTGTCCAGCCATTCTTAGAAACAATGCTTCACTTGCAGATATTCCAACAAGTACGTAATTTTTTCTTTTTGCCTTTTGTTTCTATTAGACAATATGTTTAAATTTTGTGGTTAAAAAATTCTAAAAATAAGTTTCACATTTTTATTTAAGCCACTTGTATATGATTAACTAGTGTTAGATATTTAAATTGGCCAACTTTGTAATGTTATAATTTTTAAAAAGGTGATTGAGTGTTACATATAGGATTTAGTTTATTTTGAATCAATAGAGTTAATTAAGTTCCAAGATATCTGAAAATGTTTTTTTTTTTATTGCATATTTGTATGGAGGGATTTCTGACATAAACTGACATAGTTTTCACAACTTTTAGATTTCACGTTTTATTGATGAAGGCAGGGATTAGAAGAGGAATATTCATCTTTGTTCTTAAAAATTTGTTTTTTAATACTTTTGTTTATTTTTAATCTACTTTCATTATTCAAAAAGCTGATCAGCATTGTGTGAGTGACATGAAAAACTTATACATATGGAATGATACACATAAAGTTTAATTATAGGTATGATATGGCTTTTAGAACAGAAAGAACAAATAACTAAATTAAATTTTATCATTCATACATGCAAATATGCATATGTACTCCCTGTCTCTATATATTACACATAGCATTACCAAAAAAATTCAAGTGGAGGTTACCATCCAGAAACGTTTGGAAAACACTTTAAAAGTACAAAACTTTGCTCTAATGCATGGTTAAGAAAAAAAATTGACTGTTTCTTACTGATATGAATTATGCTGCATGAAATTTTTTATTACATTACTGCCTTCATATATATTCAGGGAAAATGTTTTGCTAATTAATCAGCATTTTTATCGGAATGAAAGTTTAATCTACTGAAACTGTGCATTGCTGTTAAAAATAATGTTTTATTTTTGCTTGTGATTGTGAATATGTGTTGATCCATATTCAGCTAACTCTCTTTGGCTATTAAGATTTTTTTCATATTTTCTTTTTTAAATTAGTGGATATGTGAAAATGCATTTTTGTTTATAGTTCATTGAAGGTAGATTAGACATGCTAAATTCTGGAACTGGTTTCAGTGATGAATTTGAGTTTGAAGTTAACTCTTATGAGGTTCATTCAAGTCACAATTTGAAATCTCAATATAAAGAATGGGTCACAACTATGAAGGTATTTCTAATTTCTGCTTTAATCTGTGAAATTTATTCACTGACTATTGTGTTTAGTTCAATAATTATTGTGTCTGAAATTTATTCAATAAATATTATATTTTCCTGCTACTAATTTTCTTCAGCACTTCTACTCAAACTTTACAACTAAGCAGTAAAATGAGTAGAAAAACTAGTTCAATTGAAAGTAATATCCTTTTATTATTGTTACTGAATTTTGTTAATCTTTTTTAGAAAGAAGGCGGTGCATTTTTAAAAAATGTGAAAAGTAAGGTAAGTTTTAATGAATGTCATACTCTATGGTTTAATTTTAGGCTTATATCTAATTTAAAATAAAATGATTTTTATTTAATTATTTGATATTTTATAAACTATTTTTGAAACAAAAGATGATTCTGAGCATATTTGTAACAGAAAAGTGTTTGCATCAATTACTTAATAGTCTGTTTATTTATTTTGATAATTTTATTTCTAATTTTTTTATGTTTGAACATTTTATTTCATTTAATTTTGATTTGTGAATTATTACTTTAATTTCATTTTTTAATTGGATTTTTATTTGATTTGATATAATTTCAGACTAATCCTGCTGTGAGATATGCATATAAATCTGTAAGTTTTTTAAATAATTTAATGCATTTATGTTAATTTGAGTTTTTTAAATATTCAATGTCATGTTTAACATTTTTACTTTTTTTTTTTTTTTAATTACATTTTGTTTAATGAAGCTTTTCAGTTCAATATAAGACTAAAATATACACACTTCTTGGGCCCTGAGTTGAATACATTTTAAAATTTTGGGAATTTTCAGCCATAAATGAAAGATAATTGGATTGAGAATTAAAAAACATGACTAAATAAAATAGGAATAGATCATAAAAGAAGTTATTTTCTTTCCAACATTTTTGTAGAATAATACATTGTCTAGAAGCATATGATTTGTTTCTTAATCAAAGTCTGCATAATTTGCCAATGTTTTCTCATCTGTGAATTGTTTTAGCAAAAAAAGGTTTAACCTTCTAAGACCGAGCCAAAATTCTCATAATATAGCCTTCAGACCGGCGTGATCCGAAACAGTTTTGCCTCTCTTTGACATTTTCCTAATGAGAAAAGTTGTTATTCCCCCTCCATTGATGCAGTAAATATATTTTCTAATTTATTTTAAAAAGAGTAATCTTTCACGTTTTCAAAAGAATAAGGACATATTGGGTGTTGACACAATGTAGTAAATCTGTTTTTCATATTTCTTCCAGTAATGAAAACAATTACCCTGGAATATTTTCAAAGCAAAATTAAGAAAACTGTTTACGCCAAATTTTGCATAAAGTATCATCTCGTGCATTTTTTATTTAAAGTGTGAAATTTTCTCTTTGAAAATATAAAAAATCATGAACGGAGCAAAATTAATTCACGAGAAATAACTTTGAAATGCAATAATTCCATCATAATATGAAATAGTGGAGAAAAGTGCAGTACAGTTTATTTATTCACAAATAATCCCCTCATATGCGTAATTTATGTACTGTCGATTGAGAAATATAGGTTAGTAAATTAAACCGGTTATTTCAGTACTTTTTCTTTATCTTCTCTTTTACGGGCTCTTCAGTAGAGCAGTAAAGGTGGCTCAACACTTGTAGCTCGCTCGGGTTTGGATCCCGGCTAAAGGATTGGATTCATGGTTTTTGTGTAACGTAAGTGCAAGCCAGTTTCCCTTAGAAAGTCCTCTGCGAAGGCATCCCTCCCCTTATACAGGTAATTGTTGTGTGCTTTGATGTAATTCAGTAAGCGTACAAAATTATTACAGACAAAATAACAACCTTTTTTAAAGATATTTTTTTTATTAACTTGTCTGAATTCCTTTTATCTCTTGAGGAGTATAAGAATTTCAGAAAATAAAACTGGCCGAAATTTAATACATATAAATCTGTAAGTTTTATTACATATAAATCTGTAAGTTGATATGCATATAAATCTGTAAGTTTTTTAAATAATTTAATGCATTTATGTTAATTTGAGTTTTTTAAATATTCAATGTCATGTTTAACATTTTTACTTTTTTTTTTTTTAATTACATTTTGTTTAATGAAGCTTTTCAGTTCAATATAAGACTAAAATATGTTTCTGATGTTTTGATTCAATTCAGAAGTAATGTGAGCTTTACTGATATTTAAATACTTTTTGGCAAATCTCGTCCTAAAAGAGGGTCTAAAGATAAATTGATTTTATTTAATTTACAATCAATGAAAATAATTGAAAGCAATCATTGAATGAAATCATTAAATGAATGAAAATCACAAAAACTATTATGCATACAATTGTCTCTTTTTTATCTCCTGATAAATCAGATAAAATTGCCTACATAATAGAAGCACTTTGAAAGACTTAATAGTTCTTAAGGGTTTTATGCACTCCAAAAAAAAAAAAAAAAAAAATGTCAAAATAAAATCTTATTATTCATAAGTATAAAAAGGAAGTAAACGATAAAAGTGGTTTTAGCTATTTTCTAGAAGGGCATTAAATCTAAAAAAGGAATCTATTCTTATTTGCTACGATTAAAAAGCATTAAATCTGGTAAGCTTAAACAGCGTGCAAAATCGCTGACGTTTTAATCATAGCAAAAGTTAGTACTAAAAAAATTAGAGATGGCCTCTATTTGATTTTCAAGTATATTGGCACGAGACAAAACTTGCGGTTTTTGCCAAAATGTAGCCAAACTGATTTAAAGAGGGAAATAATGCGTAGCCAGCGGCTATTCTGAGCAGCGACAATGGACCACCCCGAGATCTACAGATAGGCGATTCTCTAAAATAGGGAGGGAATGCTGGTAGTACAGTTGTACCATAGCCGGCGTTAGAGAAAGTCATTTTCCTGGTACAACTGATGTACCAGCTGGCTTCAGAAAGTTAATGAATTTAATTTGTTACAGCTCATTAAACAAACAGAAATGGCAACATATTTTTATTGCTTGTCATTGTTTAATAAATGAAATAAAGATTACATTTTTATAAATTCTATGTATTTTTCTTTTAGAAAAGTTGACTTTATTTTAACAATCAGCAATATTTTGTTACTTCACTGACATAATAAATTTAATATTTAGATTTAATGAACTTTGTTCATTTATTTCAATTTGTTGCTATTCCTTTAAGTTTTGCATATACAGTCAAAAGTCGTTAATTCGGACACCCATAATCCGGAATGATCTATAATCCGGACCTCAAAGCTACAAACTCTCTGCACATGCGTCGTGTCAACGCATGCGCGTAAGACCTTTACGGCTGCGAATATGCTTGTGCGCATGCGCATAATATGTTTACGCATGCGCGTTTAGTGTATAATGGAAGGTATAAGCTAAGCTAAAATTATCTAATTCAGTTAATGTTGCAGATTGCGTTGTTCCTTAATCTTCGAATTGGATCCGGCTTATTATTTTTTGCAGACTGTTACAGCAATTTTATAAAAGTAAGCTTGAACTTTCTATTATGTCAAATAGAATTTCTAATATATATTTACTAATATGTAAAGGATCTACAAAGCGAAAGTATGTTTCAAAGTCCATTAAACAAAAAGTGGAATTGCTGCAAAAATGGATAAAGGCATAATCCTTTGTTTATCTAACCATTCCGAAATCTGTTTATCAATTTCACGCTGCTCTGCGGCGGGGAGGGGGGAAACGCAGCGACAAGCAATGAATTGGAAGTTGATCTGTCAGCACTATCCTTATCTTCAGGGCAGATGTTTTAATTTTATTTGCCTTATAATTCCTTACTAAATGTAGTATTTCATCTTGATGTACTCCGTCTTTGATATGATTTAAATCAAATTCCTCTTCATTATAATTTGCTTCCGATAGTGAAGAAAGTGACACAGAGGTTATTGAAAACGAAAAAATTTCGATTGACAAATTAGTTGGTATTCTCGACACAGCAATTATAGGACTTCAACAGCGGAACTTTGTAAATGAAGAAGAAATTATGTCTGTTCATAGAATTAAAGAGAAAGTATTGTCACATAAAACAAAGCAACTTAAACAACTTACATTGAAAGAAATGTTTAATAAAGTAAACAAATAAATATTAAGCTCTTTTTTTGTAAATTTTGATATCCTTTAGATCATAATTGCTCTTTATTTCATAAATTATGGTTTCATATTTTTAATTTGATAATTTCTGCATGCCATCTTACCAGATTTAAACTGATGATCTATAATCCGGAAAAATCGATAATCCGGAATCGACGAGTCTGGATTAACGACTTTTGACTGTATATTTTATGTTTAGATAATTTACTTTGGCATTGTTATTTTACTAAATTTATTTAATAACTCTAATTGGTGAAAAGAAAGGTTTGTATGAAAAATTAACAGGAGAAATTGAGATACTACTAAAAAATAATGATCTGAGACAAAATAAATAAATGAAATAAAGATTATATGTCAGTCCTTGTACTTTATGATGGAGATCAGTATTTTATTTAAGAGAGCATGGAGAAGCAATCAATGAGAATTACATTTTAACTAAGGTGAAACACCCTCCATTTTTAATGATTTTTTTCTGCATATTTGTTTATATTACCAGACACATTGTAATAACAAGGCTTGTCCATAAAATAACTGGACAGTTTCTTATAAATAAGAAAAAGATTACTAGCATTCAAATAAATTTATCTCCTGCAAAATAATTGCCAGAGCAGTCTACAGTTTTCTCAACACTTCTTCAGGTAATTGAAACAGGTTTATAGACATTGGAACTAACCACTCACAAACCACATGTAATGTTTGATTTAATATGCAAGGTGTTTTCAAATCTGTGTTCTTACATGGGCATTTTGGGAAAAGGAAAAAAAAAAAAAAAAAAAATCAGCTGTTGTTAAGTTGGGAGAATGATGGTAGATAATTTTTTACTGTAATGTATTGCTTAACTAGATATTGTTGTACAGAAAATGTTGTGTGGTGGTGCCTAGCATTATTGTGCATAGGAAACCATTGCCTAGAATCAAACAGTTCCCTACTAGCTTGCCTTATACTGCTTCTTAATCAAAAAGCACCTCCTTATAAAAATGTTGATTTATTGATTAATTTTTAGGGCCAAAATTTATGGTGAATAATTTCCTTGTAATAAAAAAATAAAGTTAGCATCACCTAAATCTTTGACATGTATGCTTTTTTTTTTTTTTAATGGAAGAAGATGGTCTTTTCCACTGTGCACTTGATCTTTTTGTTTCTGTGTTGTACTGTACTATGTCTCCTCTCCAACTATGATACAGTTTAAGACATTGTTATTCTGTCTCGTGGTAGCCAGCAAATCTTCACAGCAAGCTTTTCTGTCATTTTTTGCTGTTCTGTCAAAATTAAAGGCAAAATTCAGGTACAAACTTTCCACATTTTCAGATTTTCAATAAAAATTAACTTCCACAGCTTTAATTTCCACAGCTTTCTTTACTTATCCCAGTCATATCTGAAAGTAGCTGATTTGTCACACATCTGTCAGCTTTTACCAAAGGAAGAATTTTCTCCACATTTCCTTTATTCTTTGAAACTGAAGGGCGCGATTTTTCATGCACACATTTAAAGCACTTGTGTTCTTGATATTGATGAATCACCGCATACTGTT